GCCCTTGGCTTTATACATTTATATAATGTTAACAATTGGTATTATTACTCTACTCAAATTTTCTGTAAATTCAAACTAAAATAAAATCCGTTTCAGTTTAACCCAAAGTCATTTTATTGTGAAGGAATAGATAAATCTCATACACTAAATTATTTATATTTACTTGATTAGATTTACTATCTTCATTTTTTTTAATGTTTAATTTTTTATGAACTAAAAAACAGAAACAATTTTGCGGATTTGAACAACAATGGCGACATATTTTTTCCAAACATTTATTTACGAAGAATAGTAATTCAAAGAAACACGCGGAACATTTTTCTGTCATTCTTGCAACGTTTCCATCAGCTTACTTTGTTCCTTTCATTTCTAAATCTTATTCCAATTTAAAACTAAAATATTCAAATCTCTTTAAATCTTTATTTGCTCCATTGTGCACCTACACAATCTTCAATCTTATTTAGCTAATTTATCTAATTTATCTTATTTATTCATTTATCTAATTTATCTTATTTACCTTATTTATCTAATTTATCTTATTTATCTTATTTATCTAATTTATCTTATTTACCTTATTTATCTAATTTATCTTATTTATCTTATTTCTCTTATTTATCGCGAACTTGTCTGACCAAAAACCTTGTTAAATGATTCTTGTTTTACAACTCAGGGTTTGGTTTAAATCTTGCGCCTCCAGGTGTAACACTAAGCAGCCTCGAGCTGTAATTGTAAAATCTAATATTTATAATCCTTCTGTTGATACTATCTTTCGTAGATTTATATATTTGGCTCCTCTGTTGTTGGGTTCGTTGTATAATCATTTTTTTGTTTTCAATAAACGCCTAAACGATCGAACCGATAGATCTCCTGGTAATGGTATTCAATTCAAGAAATATCCTTTCAAATACTCTTTTCTGAAGTTTTTGAAATCTTCTTAGTTCTGTGTTTTTTAATGTTCTATAAATTGAAAATTTTCTGTTGCAAAAGAGGAGGCCCTTATCTTGAAGAAACTAAATAACGTATGAAAATACAATGAAGACGTACAGTGACGAGGCAGTTTAAAACAAAATTTGAGTTAGCTGCAACTTTTGAAAGAGTTTTTTTTAAATTGTGTGACATACATACATCCTTCCTTATATCTCGTCATATCTCTACATCTACTTTGTATATTTGTCTGTCTGTCTGTTTGTGTCCAATAAACTTCAAACGGCTGAACCGATCAAGCACAAAATTTTTAAGGCAAATCACATGACCCCAGGGAATGTTTAGATAATCAGAATTGAAAAAATTACCATAAAATATTTTTCTATTTTGCAAAATCCACGAGAAAAAAAATGCTTAAATAAAGCAATGATTAAAATTTAAAATCGAAGATGTGTACGAAGTGCTCTGAAAGCCTTGGATATCGCAAATTATTCCAATTTCATTTTGTTTTTCTGAATTTCTAGTCCTTCCGATATTTATGACTTCAAGTATCATTAATTTTATTATTGTGTAATTTTTATTTCCCCGCTTAATTACCAGGTTTTTGTTCTTGCGTATCAAGTTTTAACTAGCTGAAAGGCCCGGCTTTGCCCGTGGAAAAAAAAAATTGAAAAAAAAATCTAATTTTTTAGCATTCAACACCCCCTGGCTACCCATGAGTGTCCACAAGCCAATGTCTTGTTTTATTATATAGAATACACAAATTATAATTTCTGCTAATTTTTAATTTTCTATTTTAATCTTCTCTTTCACTTTGTTCTGTTTATTGAACTTTCTTGATTCTCAATTCTCTTAATTCTTTCACAAAATTTCTGAATTTTTTGCACTTTTTTTGCATATTTTTTTATTATATTTTACTTTTAACATAATGTTTTCTAATGCCCTGGGTCCTAATCTTGAATAAAAATTAATTGAAAAGTTTCGAAATTACAAATGAAGGTTAATGTTTCCGAGTTCTATACAATCTCTGGACTGTCATGTTCTTCAATTTTTTTATTCCATTTTAATTTTGATTTGTCCTGTTTTTGCATCATTAGTTTAAACTTACACGATTTTATATTTTTACAATCCCATCTCGTTCCGCTCATCATTAACCCCTGCATGCCCCCTTTCCCTCAGATCATTTCACTTTCTCTCTTGTTCACACAACCGCATAACTTCTGACCATCCATCTTAACATTTTGCCCTTTCACCCTAAATCCTTTCCCTTACTATACACCAGCTTCCAGCCCTTCTACTCCAATTCCTTCATCCTACTCCTAGTCCTTCATTCTACTCCTAGTCCTTCATTCTACTCCTAGTCCTTCATCCTACTCCTTGCTCTTCATCCTACTCTTAGTACTTCATCCTACTCCAAGGTTTTCATCCTACTCCTGGTCCTATATTCTACTCTTAGTCCTTCATCCTACTCCTTGTTCTTTATTCTGCTCCTAGTCTTTCATTTTATTCCTAGCCTTTCGCCCTACTCTTAGTCCTTTATCCTACTACTAGTCCTTCATCCTACTCCTAGTCATTCATCCTACTCCTAGTCCTTCATCCTACTCCTAGTCCTTTATCCTACTCCTAGTCCTTTATCCTACTCCTAATCCTTAATCCTACTCCTAGTCCTTAATCCTACTCCTAATCTTTCATCCTACTTCTAATCCTTCATCCTACTCATCTAGTCCTTCATTCTACTCCTAGTCCTTCATCCTACCCGTATTTCTTCATCTTACTTCTACTTCTTCATCCTACTCCTAGGCCTTCATCCAACTCCTATTCCTTCATTCTACTCCTGGTCCTTCATCCTTCTCCTAGTCCATCATCCTACTCCAAGTGCTTCATCTTTCTCCTAGTCCTTCACCCTCTCCTAGTCCTTCATTCGACTCCTAGTCCTTCCTACTCCTAGTTCTTCATCCTACTAGTCATTCATCCAATACCAAGTCCTTTATCCTTTCCTATTCCTAAAACTTAACTCAATTTAAATTTTAATTTATCCGGATTATTTAAGAGGCCGGCGCACAAAATGCTTTTTAGCCTTTATTTAAGGCTCAATTTTTATGGGGAACCCTGTATATGTGTTACTCCTTGAACCTTGTTTAGTATATTCACATTTATATTCAGATATCTTGCCAAGATCCTTCAGAATAATTCTCAATAAAATATTATGATGTATGCATGTAGATTGTAGATAGTATACATTTAACTATTTATCTTCATTAGTTATTCATATACTTATTTTTACCTAATCTCTGCAATTTCTCCAATATATAATCGTTTTCTCTTCGTTTCCTTTAAATTAAAAACTGGGCAACATACTTCTCTTAAACAAATGTCGGATTCAAGAAACAACAATAAACCTCAAACTTTAAAGGAATTGTCAGCTTAATTTTTAATAACACTCTTAATTAGGTTGTTCTTATTAGTAATATTTGTTTGTGTTTTTGTACAAGACAATATACATATAAGTGTTTTTTGGACTGTTACTTATTTTTGTTCAATTGAGGTTAAATTCAAACCAATTTCAATTGAATTTCTTGAACAGCAAAATAAGTAAAAATGAAACATTTCGATAACTAGGTTAAAACTTCACGATTACCAGATTAAAACTTTACGATTACTAAAACTTCTCCATTACTAGATTAAAACTTTCCGATAACTAGGTTAAAACTTCTTGAAAATATATTAAAACTTCTTGATAACTAGATTTAAACTTCTCGATAACTAGATTAAAACTTCTTTCTAACCAGATTTAAACATTTCGATATTCGCTAACTATATCAAAACTTCTCGATAAATAGATTTTAACTTTTTCGATAACTAGATTAAAACTTCTCGATAACTAGGTTAAAACTTTTCTATAACTAGAGTAAACCTTCTTGATAACTAGATTTAAACTTTTCGATATTCGCTAACTATATTAAAACTTCTTGATAACTATGTCAAACTTGTTTACAGTTAGCCTCATAGATCTCCGTAATTAGCCTATATTCTAAATAATTATAGTTTAAACCTACTTTTAAAAAGTCTTAAACTGTTCAACAATTAAAATGAAAATACTCGATAGTTAGGATAAAACTACTCGTATTTATGATGAAACTACTCGTATTTATGATGAAACTACTCGTAATTATAATGAAACTACTCGTAATTATAATGAAACTACTCGATAACTAGAATGAAAATACTCGATAATTAGGATGAAACTACTCATATTTATGATGAAACTACTCGTATTTATGATGAAACTACTCGTAATTATAATGAAACTACTCGTAATTATAATGAAACTACTCGATAATTAGAATGAAAATACTCGATAATTAGGATGAAACTACTCATATTTATGATGAAACTACTTGTAATTATGATGAAACTATACTCGATAATTAGGATGAAACTACTCGATAATTAGAATAAAAATACTCGATAATTAGGATGAAACTACTCGATAATTAAAATAAAAATACTCGATAATTAGGATGAAACTACCCGTATCTATGATGAAACTAATCGTAATTATAATGAAACTACTCGATAATTGGGATGAAAATACTCGTTATTTAGGATGAAACTTCTCATGACTATAGGATGAAACTACTCGTAATTAGATTACACGATAATTAATATGAAACTACTCAATAATAAGAATGAAACTATAAATTGGTAATCAGATTATAATTTGACTGAACTTTACTTGATAATCATTATAAAACTACTTGGTTAATGGACTGAACTAAACTCGATTAAGTCCTCGTGTGCAAACATCGATTCAATTTAAAAATAGTATTAGTAACACTCATTAGTTAAATGTTTTCTACTCTGCCAGGTTATTGTTACGATCGATTAAAAATGAATAGAAAGTTTCTTTTCAATCAACATCTATTGAAAACATTCTTTAGTCCTAGCTTTATAAATAGATAACTTCAAAATAATATTAAAGACTATGATTTTAGGGCGCTTCGCCCATCTTCTATTTCAACTTTTAATTGTGGCGCTATCTGTGAGCATCTTCTCTTTGTACGATATAAAACAAAAACAGTTGCGTATTTAATAACATTCTTTTGCGCGTTTTCAAAATTTTACAATAAAAAACTTTTGGACACAAATTTTTGTAATTACATATAAAATATATAAAGTATATAAAAATAAGTTTGTCTGAAAACTAGATTGTGAAACGTGTATTGTGTCCTAGGGACTATATCTACAATAAATAATAAAGTATGCATAACTGAGAAATAACTTGCAGTCGGTAGGCTTCAGTAGAATTCAGACCCTGAGCATATTCTTTGACTGTATACCCAGGGTGTCTGATGACTCGAAATAGCAATTATATCTAAGCGGTTTAAAGACGGAGAACAGCTCCGCTTAATATTCTTGGTTAATTAAAGTATGGCAAAACTGGTGGCTACTGATGTGCTACACTAAAGAGGTGGGTGTTAAAATCGTAGAGATCACTTGAAATATGTCCGCAGGAGTTGCAACGCCAGGGATTGGATTCGGAGTGGAACCCTCGGTGGAGAAAGTACAAGGTTTGGTTGGGATACACAATGTTACAGTGGTTACAAGTGAACCCGCTCCCTGAGCTAACCGGAACGCTCGCCGGCTGGGAGAAGGCTGGAGACGGTGAACCGTCCCTGAGTTTTATCTTCTTACTGGGTTTAGCGCTGGGAGACTCCGGGCGGGGAGATCTGGGTCCTGGAGAGAATCGTTTTGAAGGCAAGGGAGAAGTTAGAACGGGTTTACGTATACTGAGATCTTCCACCTGTGGATCATCTTCTTCAAGATGGAAAAATCCTTCCGGTTTCAACGGGAAGAGAGATCGCTCCGGGGACTCGCTGCTAGTTGGAGTGTGGGCAGGAGAAGGAGAGATACTCTGAGGAGAGGATTGACCAGACTCATACATATCTATATTGGAGCAGGACGGTTCAGATTCGTCCTGATATCCGGACCTAAGAGAGGCCTCCAAAACCGAATACTTTGCCCCGACCTGGTTCCTGGTTTCTTCAAAGCACTGGGTTGGATTCTCAAGGTCGATTTTGTGCACTATCTTGAGATGCTGACGAACTGCTGCCAGACTTGGAGAAACTCCTCCGCACAGTTTACACGTTCTCTCTCCAGGTCCTGAGGACGGAGAAATGTGTTCGTTCTGAAAATGTGCGTTCATAGCAATCTGTCGTTGGAACCTCTTTTTACATGCTGGACACATGAAGGCCAGAGGTTTCGTCTTCTCCTTCTTCACCTTAATATTCTGGGCCGGTGTGAGATGTTTGACACCATTTTCTCCAGTTTTCTGTCTCAGCTGATGGATCAAGGAGGAATAGAAAGTTGACTGTGAGCTTGAAAGACTGTTTGAACCATCAGGTTTGCACTTGTTATCATCTGGTTTACTACTTTTTGTAATATGAGGGGGAATATCAGACTTTACTCTTATTGTATTTTGATAAGCAATAGGGGCGTTAAGAGTGGCAGTGAGTAAAGGAGTGAGGTTGGAGGAGGTTGGGGGAGGAGAGGAGGGAGAATCACTCCTAGCAGGAGGAGTGTTGGTTCGGATTGTCAGGGGGGATTTTCGGAATAGATAGGATTCGGAGCAACCATGCCTCCTTTCCTCATATCCTCGGCTTGACTCATCCAGGTCTTCATGCTGATGGGGTTCTCCTCTCATAGCAATCAGCTGATCATCAGCTGATTAGTTGGTTCACGACCAAACTCTCTCCGCTCCACAAACCAACTGCGCGCACTCTCTCTCTCTTGAATTCCTCAGTTCAGATACATAGTCCATAAATTCTAAAAATCAAATAAGTCTCAAATAGGAAAATTTTCAAAGTTTAATGAAAAAAATATGCTCAAAAAATGCAAGAAAAGATCTCGTCTTGGTTTTATATTTTAATTTAAGTATTCTAAATCAATATAAACAAACATTGTATTTTCGGTTCGTCTTTTTTTAAGACCTACGTTTCTTTTAGAAAGAGTTTATAATTAGATAGATAAATGGTATGTTAGGTTCTTAAATAAATAAAAATAAACGTTAAAGATTAAGCCAGAATAAAAGACAAGAATGTATAACATAAAGGAATCGAGTTTTTGCCACACACTCTGATTTTCTAATTTCAATTTCGTTGCAACCCGATGTCGTAGACCTTTAATATTTCAAATTATGAATGCTATTAGATCAAATGATGTAAGTTTGAAATATCAAAGGTTTAAATCATAAGGTTGCAAAGATATAGATTTTACAGTGACTGAATTTGTGACAAAGACTCAATTCCTTACTGACTTATTACTCGTACTAAAAATAATAGTGAGTAAGCCATATTGGATTGTTTAGCTTAAAACCAAAACAACTGTAGGAATTTTACTGTCGTCTGCATAGTATTCAAATGCATATGTGTTAAATTTGAAGAATTTAAGAACAAATTTTCATAAAAAAAAACATTTTAAATCTTTAAGCATGGTGCTAAATTTTAATCAAGCAACTACCGTCTTGGCTTTCAAACAAACGAAAAAACATTTAAAGTATCTATTTTCACGTTTCTGAGCGAAAACTAGAAATTAAAATAAAATATTGAGGATTACCTAAAAATATCGTAGTAAATGTTTGTAAAGAGTAAATGTTACAGAAAAGAGACCAATTCCATCTTGAGACTAGAATATATTCAAGTTTCTCCAGGCACAGCTTTCCAAGCGGATAGTTCCGCGTCCTTCCACTCTGGAGATTTCAACTAGAGTGAGAACTAAGAGAATCGAGAACGGACTCGCTCACTCCCTCTGTTCCTGGCGTGTCTGGCCTATTTTCTCCGATTTTCACTGACCCTGCTCGAACGGAAACGAGCGGGCCGCCGCGTTCTTCTCTATATATGTATGTAGGGATCAGAGAGGAATAACAGGGTCATATATTTATATTTATTTCTTAGATCAGGACACTTTTCCTAAACCAGCTAGATCGAGGGTTACTCCAGGATCTAACCTAACCTAATAAACATTATATCTAACCTTCCTATTATATTTGCCATTAGAGATTTACTAAACCTTAATTTACAGTATAACTGATTGAACCTTGTTTCAAATATTCAAGCTAATTGTAAATACAATACGTTATACATTTATTTAAGTTAAGACAGTTTTAATATTCATAAAGTATATATAGGATAGATAAATATGATTAGATTAATATATATAACTAACGATGAAAAAACTGAGGTTTTAAAGGATAGATAAATATGATTAGATTAATATATATAACTAACGATGAAAAAACTGAGGTTTTAAAATGTTATTGCATAGATTTTTAGGTTTTACAAATTTCTCTTCAACAAAGAAAAACTGATTAAATTCAAATTTTTGTATCCCTGTTTCTTTACAACCTGATGGTGTTTACCTTAATAAATTTGAAATATCAAAGATCTAAACGGTTTCTTAGTTGCACAAATATAGGATTTAACAAATTAGAGTTTGTGGCAAGTAATTATTTATTTTCCTAGCTCTTGCGATCCATGAGTGTCAAAATTATAAAGTATCTAAATTTAAGAGTAAATACTACCCTCACATCAGTCTAAACCACAACTTAATAGTAAATACAAAAAGTTATATCATTCTTTTTATTTTTATTATAAAATATAAATACTATTTAAGGATATCAGAAAATATAAAGAAATTGAGTATTTGCCACAAACTCAAGTTCGTTAATCCTGATATACTTGCAACCTGACAGTGTGAACTTAGATTCTTGATCAAGCAGAATTCATAGTTTGAAATATTTCAAGTCTACAACATTGGGTTGCAAAGATATAGGGTTTAGAAAATCCGAGTTTGTGGCAAAGACTCAATTCCTCTCTAGTTCTGATGATTGACTGTTGGAAGGATAGCTAGCTAGTGAAAGGGTGTTTAGATGAATGAACGGATGACGAGGATGGCAGGATGATTTTCCAGAATAGAACTGTAGATCCTGTATCTCTGGTTCCGTTCCATAAACTCACCAACCCGGATCAAAACCCGCCCAATGCTGTATCCTAAACCTACCCTGAGCCTTGCAATCATTGATTCTTCATATTAACTTACCATGATTCCTTACTAATTAAAAATTATGTGTCCTTGCTCTGTGTCCAAATAATAATGAATCCTAGATTCTAACCTACTATAAGTCTGTCTTAACCCTAAACTATATGTCCTAAACCTAACCTGAGTCTGACCTAACCCTAACCCATGTGTCCTAATTCTACCCTAAGTCTAAGCTAATCATTAATCATAAATCCTAATCTACCTAGAGTTTGACCTAACCCTAAACCTTGTGCCCTAAACCTGTACCCTGAGTCTAAATAATCGTGAATCCTAGAATCTAACCTACCCTGAGTCTGTACTAACCTTAAACCATTTGTCCTAAACCTACCCTTTGTCTGACCTAACCCTGAACTATGTGTTCTGATTTGACCCTAAGTCTCAGTTAATCATGAATAATGAATACAAACCTATCCCAAGTCTGACCTTATCCTAAACCATGTGTCCTATAAACCTGCCCTGAGATGACCTAACCCTAAACCAAACCCTAAACTATGTGTCCTAAAACAACCATGAGTCTCAGCTAGCTAATTATGAATCCTGTAAGTTAACCTTCCCTGAGTCTGACATACTCCTAAACCATTTGTACTCAACATACCCTGAGTCTCATGAATCATATCTTCAATCCTAAACTATTTGACCTATTTTGTATTCTACTCCTTATAGTAGGACTAGTCTTGTATTCTGTATTCTACCCTTAGCATAACTAGTATTGTATTCTGTATTCTACTCCTTATAATAGGACTAGTCTTGTATTCTGTATTCTACCCTTAGCATAACTAGTATTGTATTCTGTATCCTACTTCTCATAGAACTAGTCTTGTATTCTGTATTCTACCCTTAGCATAACTAGTATTGTATTCTGTATTCTACTTATCATAGAACTAGTCTTGTATTCTGTATTCTACTCCTTATAGTAGGACTAGTCTTGTATCCTGTATTCTACCCTTAGCATAACTAGTATTGTATTCTGTATCCTACTCCTCATAGAGCTAGTCTTGTATTCTTTATCCTACTCCTCATAGAACTAGTCTTGTACTCTGTACTCTTTTCTGTGTCTGTATCCAGTATCCTGTATCCAGTATCCAGTATCATGTGTCCTATATCAAATTCTGGTATCCTGAGCATTTAACATTCATTTAAGTTTTATCCCTCCTGGTAATCTGATCCAAACCTTCAAATTTGACAGATAATCTGAATAAACCAGAATTGTGTTAATTGTTACTAATCTAGACTCAACCTTGGCATCTCTAATCTACGATGGTCCCGGAGCCCACTAATCAAGGGATTCTATAATTTCTAAATTATTTGGGCCCTAGAATCTCATCTCATCGTAAACTTTTAACTAAACACTTGCGGGCCCCTATCTCTAATTTTCTGATTCACATGTCTTTGCAACCTGATGGTGAAAACATTTTTCATTTTCAACTTTGACTTAATACTACAACTTTTATACCAAATCTGGCATATGCCCGTTTTGGTATAATTTCGACACAGTTTTATGTCAATTTCTCGACACAGGAACATCAGATAGATGTCTTCTATGGTATCGTTCAAAAGCTGAGAACCTCAGCTTTCATCCTATACCCCCTTTCATTTTTCCTTTACTGCCCCTTTAAGATATATTTTAATTCATACAACATAGGGTTGCAAGGATATAAAGATTCGAAAATTGTTTGAGGTTCAGTTCATTTTATACTTAAGGGCTTTTGATTCAAGGGTGTAATGCAAGGAAAGTTAATTGCGGTCGTGTATACTCTGCGTACATATTGAAACCAGTTCTCTTTGGGCGGAATTTGTAAACAATAATAGATGCATCAGTGTTCGTTTAGTATTCGAGGAGGTTAATAGCTTTAAATTTGATAATTTTGATAATTTACATAATAGTTTTTATGACCAGAATATTTCATTGATTTTTTTTGTGAAAGATGGATCCCATGTCAGGCTGTAACATTCGTCTTGTGTTTACATTACCGCCCAGAGACAGTACACTGCAGTACAAAAGATGCGTACACTTCTGAAATAACTTTCCTTGCATTACATCCTTGCCTTGATTAATCTCTAATCTGAATTTAATTTTCCAAACATACTATTTGTATTTCACACGGGAAAACGTCTGATATATAATATCTATGCTTACTTCACTTACTGAGACTTACTTTCTAGATATTTTGATAGGTTGCGTGATTTATTTTAGATTGATGTTGCGAGATTAAGGATCTGTAAATGAAGAAACAAATTATATCAGAAATATTAGAATTTACATCTAAAAAACGTACATACACTATAAAGCGAACTCTTTCCCCCCCCCCCCCCTGTTCTCCCAAATATTCTTTAAAAAATGTTAGAAAAATAAAAATGTTCAAATCTTACTATCATCACCTTAAAATAATATGTTTTAAATACATTTTTTGTGAATACACGTAACATTCTTTAGCCGCAGCGCTCGGTCCTCTATTCAGCACTATCCGTGGTTATAGATCCAGAAATATTGGGTAACAATTATTTTTAGATATTCCATTGTGAAAGTAAGCAGTGTATATATTAGGCATATACGAAACAGAGTAAAAATAACAACAAATTGAAAATAAATCGCAGCTTTTAAAGCCAAGATTTGATTTAAGGATAAGAACCTACTTTTTGATTTAAAGATATAAAACTTAAAAACAACCTTTTAAAATTCCACCTAGCCGAGAGAAGGAAGACCAGCACATCATTTTTTCGTCTGATCACAAATGACGTCAAAATTCACCATTTTTTTTTGGTCAGAACACACCCATTTTTCATCCTGCATTGTTAAATTTTTTAAAAAGTTTTATCTTCATAATGTTGTTTATAATGGTTTTAAATATTTTGCTCTGTTTTTTTTTATAAATAAGAAATGTATAAAGGTAAAAATTCAAGGACATTTTTATTTTATAAACCCTCAAGCAAATAAAAAGCAATTGCTATGTTCCCTACTCTAAATATGTTGATGTTAAAACTCCCGGACACCTAAAATTTAGAAGTTAAATAATAAGCATAAGGAAGTGTGTGGTCGGGACTAAATAAAGGTGAGGCACACATGTTTTCCATTCTTTGACAAATTGGGCTTAAATATTGCTTTATTTTTCAAACAAAATCAACCCATATTGAATAACACGACGTTGCCTAGATTTTAATAAAAAGTTTTGTAAGGCCCAAAAAAATACATTTGAAAGCACAGAAGCAACGCCCGAACGAAAAAGGTGTGGACAGAGTTGTTTTGTCATTTGTGGTGCGGACGAAAAGATGGTGTGGTGCGGACAAAAAGATGGTGTGGTGCGGAAGAAAAGATGGTTGTGGTGCGGACGAAAAGATGGTGTGGTGTGCCTTCCCTCGCTCCCTAGTCTGTTTGTATTTAGCAACAAAAAAGTTGAAATGAAATTTTCACTAAAGTTATAAATATTAAAGAAAGGAGTTGAGTCTTTTCAACACACTCAAATTTTCTAATCCCTATATCTGTCCAACCTTAGACATTTCAAACTTAGATTATTTGATCTAACAGAATTTATAGTTTGAAATATATAAGGTCTAAGAGATATTAGGATTAGAACATCAGAGTTTGTGGCAAAAACTTAATTCCTTTAAAGCAAAATCATATATTACAACAAAAAAATTACAAAAAAATGCGATGGTGTTATTTTGCAAAATTATCCGAACTAGTTGGGTGGATAAGGGAGGGGGGGGGGGTGGATTCTACGACTTTCATTGAGATACGGGGAGTGGATACATGTTAGTATTCCGACTTTTTAAGAGCTATTGAAGGCCCCAAATTTAAATAGTTTGATGTGCTGGACGGTTAAAAATTGCAAAGTACATAAGAAAAATGTTTTTTTTAAATATATATTTTAAATATTAGAAATAATGCATATAATGCTTATACCTCCATTTTCAAGGGATTCTCTCATATTTCAAATTATTAAAAAATGTTCTGAACTATTTCTATTCTTTTTTATTCTTACCACCCTTTCGACCGTCCTGTGTCCTGATAAATAATTAAACATAGATAGCTTATGTACGCAAAATCACCAAGAATTGTACAGTCCGCGAACTCATACTTCTAGGGGTAAAAAGTGATAAGCTGGGTGGTTTGGTGTTTTAATGGATTTCATAATTATTAAACCTATCAGGAGTGAATTTTATTTTGAGAATATAAAATTATTTCACTGAGCAATATATCATATTGACGAGAACTGAAGAAGGACATGAGAAGGGCTAAACTAACTTAAATTTCTTTTTGCAGAACTAATGTACACCACAAGTACTCATTGACATAAGAACAGCCAATGTTCACAACCGACCTAGTTAATCTATATAAAAATGTCGTCTTATGCGCAATCTATCTTTATCTATGCCTATGCCCCTCTCTATGTATTGAAAATTACAAAATTTGTTATTTTAATAATATTATTGGAAATCTTTAGAAGTTTAAGCGTTCTAGACTAAGCCGTTTAAAAACTATGTATCAAACGGCTCCGTGAAATATTAGAAAGAAGCTGTATTATTAATCTGAAAAGTTTGATCATCTATAATAATAGTTAAAGTATTTAAAGTAATTAATATTCAGGCTTACGTTAAAACCATGACAGGGCTTTGTTTGAACGATAATTTGATGTTTGGAATAAAAATGAATGTATTATTTCAGTTGACTTTGTAAATAGTAATTATAGATTATTAATATTATTTGTAAATATACTGGTATATGTTGAAGAGACTGTTATATGCAAAGAGAATAGAATATATATTAGAGTGGAATTTAGAAAATGCCTTGGTATGCATTTTTTCAGTCCCTTTCAGCCTGAAAGGGAGTTCAAAGTGTTCAAATCATGTAAATGTTCACAAATTATATGCGGTAGATTACATTAATACAGTATGCTCCCTAGACTATCCATTTCAATTTCGAATTTTTTAAAGCTGTTAAATAAACTTTATAATGTATTATGTAAATAAAAAACATCATTTGATTTATAGTTATAACGTAAAATCATCGTTTGTAAAGTGAAAGGTATAGAGTCTATGTGAAATGATCATTGTCAATTATGAAACCAGCCTATTTCATAATTTGGTTTTCTTTTAATATCAATTTTAGATTTTCTATAAAATGATGTTCCAGGGCCCAAAAGGTTATATAGCACAAATATGTGAAGTACACCTCCAGTATGAACACAGTGCAACAAAATGGCCGATTTACACTTTTTTCTAGTAAATTCCACTCTAATATATATTCTATTCTCTTTGGTTATATGAAAGTATGTGTATAAATGTATATATTGATAACAGATAGGTAGGTGTGGAGGCTGCCTGGAGTTTAAACTTGAGGTTTCTAGTTACGTCAGTTCATTCTTAACCTAGAGCAGGATCCCCGCGGCTAGCAAATCTTCATTCTCTACTCTAAACTCTACCCGAAGAATCCAGGATCTTCCTATCCAGTATCCAGGTCTGCTGTATCTCCTAGTGCTGGTGGGTCCAGGTGCTCCTGTTCTTTATATCGGAAGATATAGAAGCAAAACATTTACCTGGAGCAACTTCAATACAATACAATACAGGTACACTTCTTATCCTCCTGTTCAATACTAAACTAGTTTCTATACTCCTGTTCGTATTGGAACCTTTTCTCCTGTTCAATACTAAACTAGTTTCTATATTCCTGTTCGTTGAATTGGAAAACCTTTTCTCCTGTTCAATACTAAACTAGTTTCTATATTCCTGTTCGTTGAATTGGAACCTTTTCTCCTGTTCAATACTACATAAAACTAGTTTCTATATTCCTGTTCGTTGAATTGGAAAACCTTTTCTCCTGTTCAATACTAAACTAGTTTCTATATTCCTGTTCGTTGAATTGGAACCTTTTCTCCTGTTCAATACTACATAAGATTTTATATTCGTGGTCGTTTACTTTGCCATCCTTTTCTCCTGTTAAACACTAAACTAGTTTCTATGTTCCTGTTCGTTCACTTTGACATCCTTTTCTCCTGATCAATATTAAACTAGTTTCTATATTCATGTTCGTTCACTTTGCCATCCTTTTCTACTGTTCAGTACTAAACTAGTTTCTATATTCCTGTTCGTTTACTCTTTGCCATCCTTTTCTCCTGTTCAATATTAAACTAGTTTCTATATTCCTGTTCGTTCACTTTGCCATCATTTTCTCCTGTTCAATACTAAACTAGTTTCTATATTCCTGTTCGTTTACTCTTTGCCATCCTTTTCTCGTGTTCAATACTAAACTAGTTTCTATATGCCTGTTTGTTTACTCGTTGCCATCCTTTTCAACTGTTAAATACTACATTAGTTTATTCATTCCTGTTCGTTTACTTTGCTATTCTTTTCGACTTTTTAATACTAAACTAGTTTCTATATTACTGTTCGTTTACTTTGCTACCCTTTTCAACTGTTCAATACTAAACTATTTTCTATTTTCCTGTTCGTTCACTTTGCCAACCTTTTCAACTGTTCAATACTAAACTAGTTTCTAGGTTCCTGCTCGTTACTTGGCAACCCTTTTCTCTTTTTTAATGCTAAACTAGTTTCTTTATTCCTGTTCGTTTACTCTTTGCCATCCTTTTGTCCTGTTCAATACTAAACTAGTTTCTATATTCGTGTTTGTTAACTTGACAACCCTGCGTCCTGTATTCTGGTTTCTTTTTATTCTTTACTCTGATAAATCCTAGATAAAACCTCTATCCTGGTTCCTTTTTCATCGCTACCCTAATATATTTTGGATACAACCTGTATCCTGGTTCCCTTTTCTCCTATAACCCTGATAAATCCAGGATACAATCTCCCTTCTCTTCCCTACCCTGATAAATCCTGGATACAACCTGTATCCTGGTTCCCTTTTCTTGTCTACCCTGATATATCCTGGATACAATCTTTGTCCTGGTTCCCTTCTCTCTTCTTTACCTTGATATATCCTGGATACAACCTGTTTCCTGGTTCCCTTCTCTTCTCAACTCTAATATATCCTAGATACAACCTTTATCCTGGTTCCCTTCTCTTCTCTACCCTGATATGTCCTGCATACAACCTGTATCTAGGTTCCCTTCTCTTCTCTACCCTGATATATCCTGAATACAACCTGTATCCTGGTTTCCTTCTCTTCTATACCCTGATATATCCTGGATACAACCTGTATCCAGGTTCCCTTCTCTTCTTTACCCTGATATATCCTGGATACAACCTGTATCCTGGTTCCCTTCTCTTCTCTACCCTGATATATCCTGGATACAACCTGTATCCAGGTTCCCTTCTCTTCTCTACCCTGATATATCCTCTCGTGACACATCATTGATCAAATTATTAAATTTCCATTAATTTAATAAATCAGAAGTTCTGGAAATTATTTCTGTGTAGAGTTTAGTCAGGAAATGCAAAAATCATTTATTCACGCAAATTCAAACATTACGTATTATATACAGGGTGTTCCACGAAACATGAAAATAGCAAGACGACTTAAAAGTCGTCTTCGAACTTTGGATTTATCTATGACGTTAAGTCGTCAACCTACTTTCACATGAATCATTTTTGAAACAATAACCACAATATTGTGGTCTGTTTTTTGTGCTTTAAATATAACCGGATACAATAAGAATTTCTTACAGATTTCGACAAAAGAATTGAGCCTTTGCCACAAACTTTGATTTTCTAATTCCTATATCTTTGCGATCCAATGTCGTAGACCTTTCAAATTATGATTTCTGTTAGATCAAATAATCTAATTTTAAAAACATCAAAAATTTACATGAAAAGATATATGGATTAGAAAATTTGAGTTTGTGGCAAATACTCAATTCCTTTGTTTTTTTAATAAAATTGAAATCTGAACGAAATTCTTATTATCTGCAATAATATTGAAAACACAAAAAGGCTGACAACATTTTGGAGACTAGGTGTATTTTGTTATTATTAACTCTAGATATTTCAGTTATAATATTGTATATGAATAAAAATCAATAAAGCAATGCACTGAGTTTCTCAAATATTCAACGAGTCGGTTTTTCTTACAATATATTTATATACAAAAGATACAAAAATACAAACTTTAAATCGAACGATACTTATACAAACTAAATATTATGAATCAAATCAGTTTCATCAAATAGGGGACATTTTTACATTTTGCATTTTTTCATCGTTTCACTTATACAAACTAAATATTATGAATCAAATCAGTTTCATCAAATAGGGGAATTCTTCAAGGGAACCTACACATAGGGAGCTGGTCTTCAACTGCCTGTCCTCCTTCGATTTTGCTCCATCCTAGGATCGCATTTAACCCTAGCTACCCCGGGGTTGTTCCGCCCCCTCCCCAACGCTTGGGTCTTCAAGATAACGGAAAATTCGGCGTCGCTTGGGTTATTTATAGAATCCAAATGCAAACTCAAATAAATCCGTTAGGATTCAAAATAGGACTCTAAAGTCCAACCGTAGGGTTAAAGATGGGGGGGGGAAAGGGGGCATGATTCCCCTTGGTAGCTATGATCTCAGCGATCCAAAAAATCCTTGAATTGCTGATCGTAAAAGATCAACAAAACTCGCCCACTGTTACAATAAATTCTGTTAGATCAAATGGTCTAACTTTAAAATATGAATGATATACAGGGTGTCCCAATAAACACGGGAATTCAGTGACGAAGTCGATATAGTCTTTTCAAATAATTCTTTGATTTAGTATAGTGAAATCTACTGAGAAAGCTGTAATCTGTGAGTTTCGTCTACTATGTTCCCATTTTGTTTGTTTATGTTTTGATTGCATACGGTTGTACTTAGTAAAACAAGAAAATTACAGTATACAAACAGAGTGAACTTGTCCGTCTTCACTGTTCATCTTGCGGAGACATTATAGACACAGCTTTACAGTCTTTTACCCTTTCCATAAAATAAACTCTAGCAGACATAATAATATTATGGCTTTTGAAATTAGGTATTACAATGCTAATTCATAACAAATACGATATTCAATTCGTCACTGAATTCCCATGCATATCCCTATATTAATGATAAAAGGGTGAGGAAATTTGAGTTTGTGGCAAGAACTCTTCTCCTATAAATTCGTTTAGATCAGGTCCTAAAGATAAAGAATTGCTGTTTGTAAAGAGATATGGTTAGAATATATCCCGGGTTCTCCTTCTATCTTGACAGTTTAGAAATTCTATACTTTGTCTTCGGGAAAACTTTTCAGAAATGTCCAAGAGAAGGTTTCTTTGAACTTTATTTATTATATTGTTGATATTTGACAGAAAATCCATAATTTCCCAGGAGGATATTACTTTACATGCCCTGTACATTTCTAAATTTTAGAAAATATATAAAGTACTTTTATAGATAATTTCAGTAATAGATAAATGATTCATTTCGTCTATTCAATAAAAGCAATGAAAACAATTGTTCTGTCTATATTGACACCCCCACCCCCCCCGGGTTGCTTTATGTTATCCCACCCCACCCCTTTTCCATGAAAAGTTTATCCATCGAGCACGTGCTTCTTTCTTCTTATTGAAGTTTTAAAAATGCTGATTTCAATTCTTTTTTGAAATTTTGCAAGCGAAGCGTGTTTTTGCTTCATTGTACACTCTGGGCCGTAGTAAATTTGAATTCGAACAGGACCAGCCCACTTTGTACCGGCCTGCCAGATAACATCGTGTACTGACCCGATCCTATGGTACAGTACGTCGCCCTAACCAGACTAACATACGACAGGGTGTCAATTTTCTTGGCATAGTTCTGTCGGAGGGCTAACTATGACAACTCCCATGGCGCGTTCAGACTTTTTACAGTACCCGGCCTAATCCTAGGCCTATTTGACCGACCCCACTGACTTAGTCTACCGTGTGTAAGGAACAAAATAATTTGAGGGGAAAAAACTAAAAAAAGAGTTTCTAATGACCGGACCGGACATCTTTTTCACAATCTGAGATTAAATCTGAGTTTTCATTTTAAATAATATAGGAAGTTTTCTATTGAAAAAAGCGAAGAAAAAAGTTTTGTTGACCAGATTTTTGTTTCTTTTTAATAATCTTAGATTGTATGAAATTACGCTGTGCCGAGAAAACCGGAGAAAAATGTTGTGTTAAACCTTCTAAATAATATAACATTATAGCCAATTTTTTAAAACTTTTTTCTGATAAAATCAGTGTTTTTTTCTGATTCTTAATATATGAAACAAATTCTTCTGATTTATTTTTGACTAGCTTGAGAACCTAGCGTTGCCCAGGGTACTCATACCTGTATAGTTACTCCCGCCTTTTATCTGCGCTTGGTTGGAAATTTTAGCTATTTTCTCTATAAAAGTCAACTTAGAATCTCACAACCAAGCTAAGAACATTGTTCTCTCAAGATAAAATGGTCCAGGGGATCCTGAGTTATGATCGGACATACAAACAAACAACCTTTCTCCGAAACAAACATTAAAGCAAAGATTACAACGTTATATAAATATATTTAGATAAAATCTACATATAAAATAAAACTCTTCGCTCATTTATATTTGTATATTTGTATATTAGCTATAGCTGGCAAAACTGCTGAAACGATTGGGCTACATTTTTGGAGGGAACCTTGAGTAATCTAATTTTTTTCACGGGTTAGTATTTTATAAAAACCTATTTTTTTATAAACATAGTCGTTTAAGACACTGTCGTATTTTGTATTTTCCATGTTAATAACATTCAATATAAAGATGGCTAGGACCGATTTACAACGATATCCTTTGAACCTTTATCTAATCACTAATGTGGAAGATATCAACGTTTTTTTTGGTTAAAAAACTCCTCGAAAAATCCTCTAAATATTGAAAAAAGCACTCAAAAATGTACAATACATGAAAAAAAGTCCTCTAAAATCATTTAATGAAAAAAAGCATTGAAAATGACCTCAAAAATCTTGTATCATTGAAAAAATTTCTAAAAATCTTCTATCATTAAATTCTTAAATATCCTCAAAGTAATTTGATCAATTTCGTTTAAAATTGGTTAAACCGCACTTTCTGTAGTTTTCATCAAAACACGAACAAAAATTAACTAATTTGCTTTCCATGCAATGTTTACTTTAATAATTAGTTTTACATATTTTTAACACACAATATGTCAAAACAGACCTACGATGAATTAATTCACCTATTCCTAAACCATCAACATTAAATAAAGGAATTGAGTCTTTGCCACAAACTCTGATTTTCCAATCCCTTTATCTTTGCAACCCAATGTCTTAGACCTTATTTATTTCAAACTAAGTATACTGTTAGATCAAATAATCTAAGTTTGAAATATCAAAGGTTTACTCCATCAGGTTATAAAGATATAGGGATTTAAACATTTAAGTTTGTGACAAAAACTCAATTCCTTTGGTTTACATTAATCTTTTATGTAAGTTAACACATCGATTTTATTTTAAACTAGCTGAGAACCCAGCGTTTGCCTAGAAACAAATTTTTCTTAATAAGAGGCAGTCTTTTTAACTAAGAATTTTTAAACCAAGCAATAAAATTCCCGTGGTTCACAGAGTTTCCAAATCAAAATTTGAGGCAATTCGTTTAAAGGGACCGTTCACTTATTTGGGTAATTTTGGTGTTAGCTAAATAGCCTATTAGCTATTTATTGGTATTAGTATTACTTTTTAAAGATAACTGTGGCCGGAGGAAAAACCAATTTATCGTTCAGTGTTGTAAAGACACTATTTAAACTTGTTTTTTTTTCAGTAATAACAGCCCAAGAAAATCTAAAATTATCATATTTCAATGGCATCATGTGTTAGCCATTTTATACTAATATACGAACATTTTTGATATTAGAGAGAGCAAGAAACATTTAACATGTGGTTGCAAAGACGACATTCTCTCCGAAATAGATTTTAACACTTTCACATGAATGAAGATTTAAATGCCGCGTTCTATTCACGTTTTCCCGAGAAAAAAAATAGCAACCGTTTAAAAATGATATTATAGAAAAAGACAATTTATAAACAATTTTGAAAAAAATTAAAGATATTTACAATTCACTAGAATATACTCTAGTTTAGTTCAATATTTTATATTAATCTCAAAAATCCATGACTATGACAAAAAGCATATAATAGTGTCTACAAAAGTACCTGCCCTTTGCGCTGGAATTCTGAACAATAAATCTTCTCAAATACTTTATTAACAAAAGGCGACATATACAATTAAAATATAATTATAAAGTGGCTTGTTCACCCTTTATATTATAAGATAATAAACGTGATTTTATATGAAAGAATAACTAGAGATAAACTTTTAATAAATCGAGAAAAATTATGTATTTATGAATTTACAAAGTGGCCTGGCCGCCCTTTTATTTTAGCTAAGATAGCGAACTTGATGATTATATATTCAATAAAAGAAAAACGAGAGAAAAAAACTTTAAAAATCAGCAAGCATTATTGATAAGGGCATAAATGCATAAATGAACAATAAATCGACTTTTTTTCTGGTCATAGATATCTTTGATAAGTAAGACTAATGCAAATGAAAAGCTAATAGACTATTTAGTTATCCATGAAATTACCCAAATAAGTGAACGGTCCCTGGGTTGCTCTGAGTTATGATAGGACAGACAAACCAAGAAACAGAGATTACTACTTTTTATAAGTAAAATATGAAAACATTGAAAAGTATTATAAACTTTCTAATAGAAATGAAAACTATCTATACATGCAAATATGGACTTGAGGAGCAGAAAGCAATAATTATTCAATAAATTATGAAGATATTACAGATATTCGATATCCGTCCCGTTTTTCTATTTGGACTATTCTATCCAGGCCTTATTGATAATTGATAAATTGTCAATAAATGTTTATTAAATATCTATTTTAACACTACGAATATAATTAGGTCATGACAGATCTTCAATATCTAGACTATTCAATCCTATTGACTTAATGATAACGAGATAGTGTCCCTAAATATCTAGACTATTCTATCCTATAGGCTTAATAATGATTAAGAAATTGTCCCTAAATATCTAGACTATTCTATCCTATAGACTAAGAAATTGTCCCTAAATATCTAGACTATTCTATCCTATAGACTAAATAATAACGAGAAATTGTCCCTAAATATCTAGACTATTCTATCCTATAGACTAAATAATAACGAGAAATTGTCACTAAATGTCTGGACTATTCGATCCTAAACCTATTAATAACGAGAAATTGTCTCTAAATATTTAGACTATTTGATCCTAAACCTATTAATAACGAGAAATTGTCTCTAAATGTCTAGACTATTCGATAATAAACCTATTAATAACGAGAAATTGTCTATCGTCCCTAAATATCTATACTATTCGATCCTAAACCTATTAATAACGAGAAATTGTCTATTGTCCCTAAATATCTAGACTATTCGATCCTAAACCTATTAATAACGAGAAATTGTCAGTTGTCACTAAATATTTAGGCTATTCGATCCTTAACCTATTAATAATGAGAAATTGTCTGTTGTCACTAGATATCTATTCTATGCGATCCTAAACCTATTAATAACGAGAAATTGTCAGTTGTCACTAAATATCTCGACTATTCGATCCTAAACCTATTAATAACGAGAAATTGTCTGTTGTCACTAAATATCTAGACTATTCGATCCTAAACCTATTAATAACGAGAAATTGTCAGTTGTCACTAAATATCTAGACTATTCGATCCAATTACTTAAAAGGTCCCGCTACTAAATATCTATTCCATAGTGGAGCGTAGTGGTGTATCTATTCCAAAGTGTAGCGTAGTAGTGTATCTATTCCATAGTGCAGCGTAGTAGTGTATCTATTCCATACTGCAGCGTAGTAGTGTATCTATTTCATACTGTAGCGTAGTAGTGTATCTATTCCATACTGTAGCGTAGTAGTGTATCAATTCCATACTGTAGCGTAGTAGTGTATCAATTCCATACTGTAGCGTAGTAGTGTATCTATTCCATACTGCAGCGTAGTAGTTAATCTATTCCATACTGCAGCGTAGTAGTGTATCTATTCCATACTGCAGCGTAGTAGTGTATCTATTCCATACTGCAGCGTAGTAGTGTATCTATTCCATACTGCAGCGTAGTAGTGTATCTATTCCATACTGCAGCGTTGTAGTGTATCTATTTCCCTCTCGACTTAATATCTCCTTCGTGTCAGGAATAAGGAAATCAATTGAGTCGTTGTCTAAAACTCAAATTTTCTTACCCAGCTATATATTTGCAACCTGACGGTGTAAACCTTTGATATTTTAAACTTAAATTCATAGTTTAAAATGTCTAAGGTCCAAAACATTTGGTTGTAAATATTATAGGGATTAGACAATCAGAGTATGGGGAAAGACTCAATTCCTTGCCTCATTTAGCGCTTCAAGTTCCATTTATACATTAGATTTGCCTTCTGTAGTAATTATAAAGAAAATTTTTACAAAATATATGCAAATTATGTAGCTTAGACGAATAACTGATGTGTAGTTATTATGTTAACATACCTCATTATGATTATCAATAGGCGAATTAAGGTTAATGTCAGGTCTGGACCATAAGCACGGTTTGGAACTTTCTTCCTCTGTATTAATGTTATTGAAACCCTTACAGCGAGTGTGAAAACCTTATATATCCTTATATTCATTAGTCATCAAAGGAGTCATTGTTTTCATATTTTTACACATCATAGTAATATATTACAATTTATTTTATAATTTATTTCAAGGTTCCAAACATACTTTTTATTGATTTGCCGCGCTTAGTAAATATTTATAAATTAAAACATATCAAAACTTAGCTTTTTATCCTCGAAATAGTATTTTCTTTTTTATAAACTTGTTGACTTAATAAAAACTAATTTAAAGAATTATAAATCTTATACATTCCGACATACATTTGAAATGTATCCTTTTGCTTTACGATATCCTAACTTTTAAAGTTGGATGTCTCATTTTTAGATGAGCTGGCCTATGACCAAGCTATGACCCTGTGTATCGCATAAATATGTTTTTCTCTAAATATACTTTTCCAGGAAAGAGGGGGTGGGGTTGCTTACGTAGATCTAGACCCCCCAGCCTTAATAAGATTGATTAAAAGTAATTATTGATAAGCAACTTCTCAGGTTTTAAAAATTAGTTATTTCAAGAATACTTTATCAGAACTAAACTTAAATAAATTTAATCAAACTGGTTTAAACTTTACAAGGATTGTAGACATTCGAGTTAACCTCCATTTATCGAGAGTATGTCCGATTCCCACGGGTACCCTTTAAACCTTTGTCTAATAATATCGATGACGAAGATCCAGCAAAAAATCGAGCTTCGAGAATCTTTAGTTAGCACTGTGGTATGAACTCTACAAGCGTTTTTTGACACTCGATTTTCAGCTAACAGAATATTAATATTTCCGTTAATCTTGATTTAAGATAAAGTGCTGTTGCGAATTGAACATGCCACTCTAAAAACTAAAAACAACTTGAAATTACATGTGTACAGTCCCTCTGAATTAAACTGGGTCCTGCTCCAGGTATGGTTGCGAGGATGGGTTCCATGTGATGGAGGCTGGGGAGAGAGGGACGGATGGCTGGAGAGGGGGGGACGGATGGAATTAGGAAAAGGTTGAGTAGGGATGAAGATACCGCCATGGGAACTCAGGATAATCAAACAATGCAGGTAACATGTTAACTTTTCTACTTTCTTGTTTAAAGATACTGCAAGCGTAAATTAAGTGATTCTCCATGCAAAGATGTCAATGCCTGATTTACAACAGTACTATTAAAAGCTTTTCATGGTAAAATATGAAATAGATATCCATGTTTTTCTTTTTGTTTAATTTAATTTGTGGTTTCTCCTGAAAACGTGACCTGTACATTTCTTGCTTATAAGAAACAATGGAGATATAATCTGAATTAAACTCTTTTTGATTCAGAACAACGACGTTACTTTCAACATTTTTGATTAGATTATAGTTTCCTTCTCACAATTTCCCTAAAATGTGGTATGAAAATAAACGAGACTTTTCAAAGCTTTCAAATATCAATCTTATTTTGAATTTTAAGCAGAATTTGGTTGAAGATTATTATCAGCAGAATAAATGTATAAATTTTAACACATGCCATGTTTACAAAAGAATCGAAGAAACCAAAGACGATTTTACAAAGAAAAGACTAAAAAGAGTAAAAAGAGTAAAATATATAATCAAACATAAAGGATGTCAAAAATCAGCGCGAATTAAAAAGATGCTTAAAAATGCCCATTTTTAACCTATGCATTTTTCACAACCCATAAAACCTATGTTATTTTTTTAAACATTACAAATAAATCTATCATTTTTATTTCTATTTTGTCGAAAAATACTAGCAATCCACCACTAGTTTATATTAAATATAATGTAAACAATAAATATGTAACTTTCCTTTTCCTTTCCTTTCCTTTTCCTTTTATTTATATTTTTTATATTTTTTTAGAATTGGGGGAAAATATTCCCACAACCTCTATTTTTGGAGGGTTCAAAAATATTTTCTCCTTAAGCACATAATTTTGTGTGTTTTTGTTATTTTTCATAAATAAATGATAACTTACTTACTTACTTATTTTCAAGGGTACCACCGTTTAAAATTGGGTATTGCTTTTTTGTCACTTGAATTTACGCTTACAGTCCCTTTAACACAAAGTCGATGTAATAAACTGTCCTCCTCACATCATAGCCCGTAAATCAATAAATCATGCACTTCTTACATCCTGGAAAACCAAGGAAGTAAATTGAACCGATTTCGTTGTACAGTGGATTTTGATTACAAATAAAGAGGAAGTTGAGAACTTTTTTTAAAAAGATATTTCATAAAAATTATATGTTTGTTTTATATCGAAAAAAAATCTTTATTGCAACGAATTTAATATCAGTTTCAGCACATTTGTAAACACTTTGTTTTTAGTCTCAATGCTTCTTCCTCTTTTCTATTTCTATTTCTTGGCCGACTTGTATGGTGAAATACACAGCATCCCATATCATATTAGATTATTTTCTACGCTTTAACGCCAAAATGTGCAAATAATACTCGAAAACCCTAGTATTTTTTTTGTATACATTTAAAACAATTTATTCAATCTTTTGAAATCTTAATTTATAGAGCTATAAACGATCTAATATGATGTGGGATACCCTGTATAACTGAGTATAACTGTCAAATCAAAAATGAGATAATTGCGCGATGTCTGCACAACTCTAGTAAATAAACACTTTAATGAGACAACTTTTTTTGTAATTAAAAACGTCGATTATTTCCTTATCCAAATGCACAAATGCTGATTTTTTTTCGCAAATATATTAAAGAAATGCATCTTAATTGTAAAATCAAGCATTTATCAATTTTAAAAATTCTAAAGTGGAGATTTTTGCCCTCTATCAAAAAAATAAAATACTTATTTGATACCCCTGGCAAATTATTTGTAGTTATACCACAAATGAATAGTTTTATTTAAGGATCAAAAGAATAAATTAGTTTTATTTAAGTATAACTTTAAATTAAAAAAATAATAAATCCCAAAAGTGTACAGGCCAAAGAGCTACCACCTCCTTTATACTCTGTTATTGTTAATGCGAATGCAGCGCGTCAAATTAATCTTTCTTTTTTACTCCTCTTTTTGAAGAGCTATTTGAGAAGAAATAAACTATGGATTTTTACGCTTTTTCAAATTTGACCATTTATAAAACTTTCCTGGGTCATGTGAGATTCAAAAAAATTCGGACAGATCTGTCCAGCCGTTTTAGCGTTTTTTGGAAAGAAAGAAAAAAGAAACCCAACCCAAATATATAATTAGATTTGACAATTTTTAAAAATATTTTCGAGATTTCTTTCATTTCTCTATTTAAAGCTATGTGAAACTTTAATTTAATTATTTAATTAAATTCGAGAAAACGTGAAAAAATAAATATTTTTTATTAAGTCGAAGCGCGGTGTCGGAGCAAAGTTTGTTGGTGAGTGGACTAAACTATTCAGCTGGATCCTTGAGATAGAGATGGGTTTGGTTTGGGGTATATCCGGTTTATCCCTGATATCCTTTATATTCACCTCAATATGGTACATAGATCCAGCTCTACTTACTATGGTACTACAGTTCCAACCAGCTACATGTACCACAATTCACAGGTATTTGCTTAATTTTTATTAGTTAAAAGAAATCTCTGCTGATTTTCTATAAACTGAAAAAAAACTTGCGGATTTCTGTTATTATTTTCGCGGATTTCCTTGAAATCTGAAAAAGTAACAAAATACGATTCATAACCATTTTTCTGAAAAAAATTTTGATATTTGATTAATAATATTTATATATTAGTGCACATCTGATTTGAATATATAACCGTACAAAAAAAAATAATATATTATATATTTAATGCATATCTGATTGGAATATATAACTGTACATAAATACTAATATATTATACATTTAGTACATATCTGATTGGAATATATAACTTTACATAAATACTAATATCTTATATATACATATATTTAGTGCATATCTGATTGGAATATATAACCGTACATAAATACTTATATATTATATATATTTAGTAATATCTGATTGGAATATATAACTGCACATAAATACTAATATATTATATATTTAGTGCATATCTGATTGGAATATATAACTGTACATAAATACTAATATATTATGTATATTTATTGCATACCTACTAATATATTTTATATATAACTGTACATAAATACTAATATGTTATATAGTTAGTACATATCTAATTGGAATATATATCTGTACATATTTACTAATATATTTTATATATTTAGTACATATCTGATTGGAATATCTAACTGTACATAAATACTAATATAATTTATATATTTAGTGCATATCTGATTGGAATATATTACTGTACATAAATACTAATATATTATATATATTTAGTGCATATCTGATTGGAATATCTAACTGTACATAAATACTAATATATTATATATATTTAGTTCATATCTGATTGGAATATGTAACTGTAGATAAATACTAATATATTATATATTTAGAGCATATCTGATCGGAATATATAACTGTACATAAATACTAATATATTATATATATTAAGTGTATATCTGTTTGGAATATCTAACTGTACATAAATACTAATATATTATATATATTTAGTTCATATCTGATTGGAATATATAACTGTACATAAATACTAATATATTATATTTTTAGTGCATATCTGATTGGAATATATAACTGTACATAAAAACTAATATATTATATATATTTAGTACATATCTGATTGGAATATATAACTGTACATAAATACTAATATATTTTATATATTTAGTACATATCTGATTGGAATATCTAACTGTACATAAATACTAATATATTATATATATTTAGTTCATATCTGATTTAACTGTAGATAAATACTAATATATTATATATTTAGAGCATATCTGATCGGAATATATAACTGTACATAAATACTAATATATTATATATATTAAGTGTATATCTGTTTGGAATATCTAACTGTACATAAATACTAATATATTATATATATTTAGTTCATATCTGATTGGAATATATAACTGTACATAAATACTAATATATTATATTTTTAGTGCATATCTGATTGGAATATATAACTGTACATAAATACTAATATATTATATTTTTAGTACATATCTGATTGGAATATATAACTGTACATAAAAACTAATATATTTTATATATTTAGTGCATATCTGATTGGAATAAAACTGTACATAAATACTAATAAATTATATATATTTAGTATATATCTGATTGGAATATATAACTGTACATAAATACTAATATATTATATATTTAGTGCATATCTGATTGGAATATATAACTGTACATAAATACTAATATCTGTTTGGAATATCTAACTGTACATAAATACTAATATATCTTATATATTTAGTGCATATCTGATTGGAATATCTAACTGTACATGGACAAGCTGTAGACATGGTTGTACATCAGAAATATATAAATGTTGGCATGTTGTTGTAAACTATACTCTTATCTCTGGTTCACGTCCAATACCTCCTCCTTGGTCCAGTTTATCATCTTTATCCATCCCTTCTTCTCCTGATTCTTCAGCCAACCTTCCAACTAAACTATATCCTAATGTTAGAGGATGCGGATATCCCCCTAGTTTACAGTGTGAAGGTAGATTTATATATATTTATTTAATTATTATTTATAAATTATTCTGGTTTTATAATTTTTATATTTCAGATTTCTATTCTGAGTTTGGTTCCGTTGATAGTTCATATCCATGTTGGATATCTCATATAGATTCTAATATTGCTCTTACAGAGCTAGATCTGAAGAAACTCAAGGAGGAAGTTATGTACAGTCTTATTCCTCTTGGAACCTTTATATTATCCACCCTGTATGCTCTATGTAGACTTGGAGTATTCTCTATATGCAATCCTCTCCGTTGCTGTCCCAAGGTTTCCGGTTCTACGGAGCAAACCCGTCTTACTCCAAAGCAGTTGTTCAGGTATAAAAAAGCACTCCTGGCCAAGAAATCCGAAGAGAATGAAGAGAGAGCTCAACCCAAAACCGAACCTGAACCTGAGCCTTCAAAACTTGAGATTCCCCCAACTATTCATGAAATAGTTGAAGGAATAGGAAGTAGCGGAGACCAAAGTCCTGCTAGTGATAAATTAACCCTGAGTAGATCTAGAGAGAGGTTAGGACGGATCCTAGAGCAGTCTCGAGATGAGAGGAACCTTGAATTCGAGGAGCTGAGCACTGTCCTAGAACACCTGGAGCAGATCCCGTACAAGCAGAAGCCAAACCGAAGACGAACAGATCCTCTAACAGATAAAACATTGAGGATCAAAGAAGCTTAACACTCCGACCTTTAAACTAAAATACAAAAACTTTTTTTTATAATTCTTGGTGAAGGTTTATTGTGATTAAAGAGTAGAAAGCTCCACTTTAAGTTTGCAATCTCGGGTTCTTTATCCTTATCAGATCCTAGATTACAGCTGGGTTCGCTTTGGTTCTTGGTAAACAAGGTTATAAACTATTTAATTTCCTGTTTAATGGTTGAAAGTTTACTCAGATATAATGTTAATAAAGTGAACCAAAGCTACAGCACTCAACTCCAGGGAATAGAATAAAGATTTAGTTTAAATCCTTGTCGAGTTTAATACAATTTCACAGGTCCCTGGAGAAAAGTAAGAATGGACTGCACCATTGAACCAAGATATCGTTCTGATCATCTCTACTCCGTATACTTGTATTGAACCAGGAGCTCTACCCAAGAGAAGAGAAAAAGAAGGAGAGGAAACTAATTCAACTTTGAACATTAAATATTCTTTGTTTTAAACTCGAATTTTAGGAAAGGAAATTAGTTATATCCAAACTTCATTTATAGTTTAAAATCTAAATTAATGAAGCTAAATTGAATTCTGTGCAAATCTTGTGAAAATTGCAGTAATTCCTAGACTAAATATCAAAATAGCACTGGTATAGACAGTTTAGATACACCACTTTGTGCTGTACATTGCGTAGCAATAGAGTGATACAGGTACGGCATTTTCAACTGTACATTCAGTAGAAACAGAATGTTGCAGAAACAGTACAGGTACACCACTTGGTGCTGTACACTGAGTAACAACGAAGTGGTACAAAATAAGTAAGGGAAAGTTTTTTTTCGGCAACAATTTTTATCTTTTACCAAAAACCATCCATAAATCTTCCTTGGGGGTCATGTTCGAGTTACCACAAAAAAATGAGCCTGATGGGCTACGCCGTTTTGACGTTTGTAAGATACAAACAAACAAATAAAACACATATATAAAGAGATATATAATATATAAAGCAATATTATAGATAAACTATAATTTATACGGTAACCAATAATATCATTCATTGACTTGTGATTATCAAAATAAATAAAGATTTTGTATTGAAGATCCAGATACAAATATATTCAAGGGACTATGCACTGAGAGAATATATATATTGTATAATCTAGAGATTATATGTATCCTGCAGTAGCCAGATATAAATATATTCAAGGGACTATGCACTGAGAAAATATATATTGTATAATCTAGAGATTATAAATATATCCTGCAGTAGCAAGATACAAATATATTCAAGGGACTATGCACTGAGAGAATATATATATTGTATAATCTAGAGATTATAAAAATATCCTGCAGTAGCCAGATACAAATATATTCAAGGGACTATGCACTGAGAGAATATATATATATTGTATAATCTAGAGATTATAAGTATATCCTGCAGTAGCCAGATACAAATATATTCAAGGGACTATGCACTGTGAGAATATATATATTGTATAATCTAGAGATTATATGTATCCTGCAGTAGCCAGATACAAATATATTCAAGGGACTATGCACTGAGAGAATATATATTGTATAATCCAGAGATTATAAATGTATCTTGCAGTAGCCAGATACAAATGTATTCAACAAATACACGAAATTTCAAGTGAACCTCCATTCTAAGAGTGGCATGTCCGATGCACAACGGTACACTATAAGCTTTTAACGGATAAAAAACTTTTTTAATCTGAAAGTTGTTTATCTTTAATTTTAGTTTCTCTATAAAGAGCCTTGCGGATTAATTCAACAGAAGAAAAGGGGAAAATTGTCAGAATTGAAATCTTTTAAAGTTTTCCTTTTGTTGTTCAAATAAAAGGTTTAAGTGGAACCGTTGCAAATCACCCTCGCCACTTAAAGGATGTGTTTGCGAAAAATAAAAGGGGGTATAAACTTACGGCGAAACATAAGCGCGTTTGATCACTACTAATCATACTTCTATCCGTTGCGTATTTAAGGAGAAAATTGTTAAAAACAACTCATGCTGAAGAACGTAGCGTCCATACAAATTCAAAAAGTTGAAACATTCAACTCGGATTATTGTTATTATTATTATTACTATTATGTAATACCAACTATATACGAATGCGTCGAAAAACTATTGATGATTATTGTTTGTAATATCTGAATGATTTTTTTGAATTAAATTAATTTTTTTACGATCCTAGTTGAATGTTGCATATTTCTGAATTTGTATGGACGCTACGTTCTTCGGTATGAGTCGTTTTTAACAATTTTCTCCTTATAGACGCAACAGATAGAAATTAGATTAGTAGCGATCAAAAGCGCTTATTTTTCGCCGTAAGCCTATACCCCCTTTTATTTTTCGCGAACACTCCCTTTAAAAACCCATTAAAACGACTCTATATGTATAATCTAAAGTGACTGTGAAGTTTAGACGTAAATCCAAGTGACCCATTATTTGTAGAGTGTATAATGATCATGATCAATATACCAACAAATTATGATCCTGACCATGTGGCAAAATATTATAAACTCAAAAATCTAACAGTGATAACCAGAAAACTGTAGAATATGAAGACAACATTAAAGCAATACTGAATTGCGTTTGATGTTACAAAGTAAATAGCTTTACTAGAGAGTTACTAAATCGTTTATAAAGTAAATTAGATCTGTTTACAGTTTACAATTGATGTTTATCATGTTCTTTGCACTATTTAAATCATAATTTGAGTCTTAAAGTCGACTTCCTTTTCCACAGTTTTTGGGTTCCTGCTGTATTAAAAAATTCAGACAGGGGTGAAGTTGTTTTTGAAATAAAAATAAGTTATTTAATTATTTTTTTTCAATCACTTTATTTTTTTCATTTTAAACTCCAAATTATTTTGCTTAAATAACTCTGAGCTAGTTGGATGAAATATATAAATATTAAAAAGTTTGGTTTCTGCTAATACCTCAATAATGTTCACGATTGTGAACATTCCACAAAGTGTTGTTCACCGTTTTTTAATAAAATTTCCAAGATTTCTAAACTGTTTTATGTTAAAGCTTCCTTTTATTAAAAATTTATTATCTTTATCCTAAAAATACTTTAATTGTGAATGTTTTCATCAATAAATGCAGGTTGAGCCACTTCTCAAATTCTACCCAAAAATGCATATAGTGTAAACAAAAATGCATAAAGTGTACACAAAAATGCATAAAGTGTACACAAAAATGTATAAAGTGTACACAAAAAATGCATAAAGTGTACACAAAAATGCATAAAGTGTACACAAAAATGCATAAAGTGTACACAAAAATGTATAATAAAGTGTACACAAAAATGCATAAAGTGTACACAAAAATGTATAAAGTGTACACAAAAATGTATAAAGTGTACACAACAAAAATGCATAAATTTTACACAAAAATGCATATAGTGCACACAAAAATGCATGTAGTGTACACAAAAATGCATTAAGTGTACACAAAAATGCATATAGTGTACACAAAAATTTATAAAGTGTACACAAAAATGCATAAATTGTACACAAAATGCATAAAGTGTACACAAAAATTTATAAAGTGTACACAAAAATGCATAAAGTGTACACAAAAATGTATAAAGTGTACACAAAAATGCATAAATTGTACATAAAAATGCATATAGTGTACACAAATGTTTTCAACTATTTTGTTCTAAAAAGGTAAAAACTTATTGAGTGCAATTTATTGCCATATTAATCTAATAATTCGTGATTCATTTTTTACCCTTTGTTACCCCCAGGGTACCTGTGGGTTCTCTAATAAAGTTAAATAATACTTTGGTCCAGCCGTTTTGCCAGCTATAGCGAAGAGCTTTATTATATAGAAATATATACAGAGCTGAAAACTTTAGAATGAGATATCCTTAATCCCGATTACTTAATCTGAGCATCCAATGGACACACTTTTTATTTTCTTCTTAAATCGTTCTTTCTTGGATATCGTAGAGAAAAATCCAAAAACCGGTTTTTCTAAATTAGAGAGTTCCTCCCATTCCTGTATGTAAACTTAAATGGCGTGCAAAATTTCAAATTTATCGGCATCATATAAGCAACTCTGGTTGGTTGAATTTATACACTTTTCAGGATACAAGTACAAGATTAGGTTAGTCTCGTTATTAAGAAAAAGAGAGGATTATTCTCGATATCCACCATTTTAAAGTTTTCAGCTTAGGCATACTTGCTGTAGTTGCAGTGATGCACCAGTGTGATTAAGCTTACCCTGTGTTCCCCCAGTAGAGTATCTTCATCATCATTAGATAAGAGCAGTAGACCAGAAATCATTCATTCATCTATTATAGTCTGATTTCAGCACTATCTATCTATCTATATATCTATAAATCTATCTATATATCTATCTATCTATCTATCTATCTATCTATCTATCTATCTATTTATCTATCTATCTATCTATCTATCTACCTATCTATCTATCTATCTATCTATCTATCTATCTATAGTGTTAAGCCATGGATCCGAACTAGTGTATAATGGTCACTGTTCTGTATATTTTATAAACTACATATCTGAAAGAAAAAGATATGTCCTTACCAGGACTGTCAACATAATTTCAAGTAAACCCATTCAAAATAGTAGCAAACCCGATTCACAACGGTACCCTTGCATCCGTTATCTGATCCACAATGTATAAAATACAGTCGTTTTCCTCCACTCTTTCTGCCACAGAAATGCGCAAGTCTCTTTTGTAGAGAGACCACATTAAAAAATAATCAGTTTTCCAAAAGAAACGCAGTAGAGCTTGACAATGAATTCTATTTGATTTACTAAATTAACTAGAGTGTAAAACTTTGTATCTTCAACTCGCACAACTAGTGTATATTTCAATATCCGAGCTTGGCCAACCTTTGCGGTCCTAGTTTGGACTGTACCGCTAGTATACGATTACTAAAGCGGCAGACCTGTGTGTCAAGGGACTGTAAGCATAATTTCAAATGATCTTCTATAAATGAATAAAGGGCAATGCCAGATTCATAAGGGTATGCTTGAAACCTTTATGCAGTCCAAAATGTGGAAGATATTGTCGTTTTTCTAGGTTTAAGAGTGTTAAATTTCGTGCAGTTGAAATTTGCATTTTACTTTTGTTGAGAAACCACAAATGAAAATAATCAGTTTTTAAAATTTTTAACATTTCTATCTGGTTCATACTTAGGTAGCTACTAGTTTATAGCTTTAGTTTAAAAGTACACTGGGTTAAACTAGAAAGGATTGGAATGAGATATCCCCAAAGTATTATTTCTCAAGGTCTTTAATTGTATAAATATATTAAACTACATTGTGATATAATGTATCCTTGTATTATTCATCTCTAGGTTTTTCAAGGTAAAAATCTAACCAGAGTATAAGAGATTTATCTCAGTATTATTCATCTCTAGGTTTCTTCAGGTATAAATATAACCAGATTTTAAGAGATGTATCTCTGTATTATTCATCTCTAGGTTTCTCCAGGTAAAAATCTAACCAGAGTGTAAGAGATGTATCTCTGTATTATTCATCTCTAGGTTTCTCCAGGTAAAAATCTAACCAGAGTGTAAGAGATGTATCCGTGTATTATTCATCTCTAGGTTTCTCCAAGTGTAAATCTAACCAGAGTGTAAGAGATGTATCCCTGTATTATTCATCTCTAGGTTTCTCCAGGTAAAAATCTAACCAGAGTGTAAGAGATGTATCCCTGTATTATTCATCTCTAGGTTTCTCCAGGTAAAAATCTAATCAGAGTATAAGAGATGTATCCCTGTCCTATACATCTCTACGATTTCTCCAGGTATAAATCTAACCAGAGTGTAAGAGATGTATCCGTATTCTATTCATCTCCGAGTCTGTATTAATTATTTACATAAATCAGAGGAACTAATCCTAGATCTAGAATCATACTAACATCATCTTGGAGATATCCTTTCATACATTGATGCGCAAAACAAAATCTCCAAAGAAAATACGACGTAATCCAGAAACTTTTATCTAACAGTAAATCTTTGTTTTCATCAACGTAAGAAAAACATTTCCTTCCCCATAAAGAAGTTAAGTAATGGAGGTCAATCCCATCTCCTTCAAAAGTTACCAGCTTGGAACTCTTTATCATTTAAATATATAAAGTAGTAATCTTCATTTGGTTGTTTTGAGGTCGAGCATAAATCACTACTCCCTGGACCTATTTGTCTCAAATTTTTATTGGGGAAATCGGGAGAATTACGGGAAAGTTCGTAGCACGGTTTAAACATCTGAAGTTGAGTGTGTTGACTTTAATATGGAAAACTCAAGGCAAAACTGGGTCACTTAAATTCACCTCCACCAGCCCTTTAAAGTTAATATAAACGATATAATATTCTTTCTTAATCAAAAATAAGCACGTAGAAATGTTTCAGCCAGAAAGACCTTAGCAATAATAGTTTTATCAATCTGTTTAGTTTCACACCTAATACCCAAAGTTCACTGTATAAAAAAGATACCTTATTTTTTGTATTTTACAATCACATATATATATATAAGCTCTTAAAGGGACTGTTATAGACGTAAATTTTACAATGGTATTATTTAAAATTTTATCTAAGCAACGTTTTTGCTACAGGGTGTCCCAATAAACATGGGAATTCAGTGACGAATTCGATATCGTCTTTTCAAATAATTCTTTGATTTAGTATAGTGATACCTACTGAGAAAGCTGTAATCTGTAAGAGTTTCGTCTACTATGTTCACATTTTGTTTGTTTATATTTTGACTGCATACGGTTGTACGTGGTAAAAAAGAAAACTGCAGTATACAAACAGAGTAAACTTTTGAAATTAGGTATTACAATGCTCATTCATAACAAAGACGATATCGAATTCGTCACTGAATTCCCATGTTTTTTGGGACACCCTGTATCTTAAAATTCCAAATTGATTATTCTCAATTCCGGTTCTCTATTAAAGAGTGTTGTGGATTTACACTGCAAAACGGAAAGAAGGAAATTGTCCAGAATTCAACACTTTTCCATGCAGAAAATGGAGCGTTATATTTATAAAATAAATCACGAATCAGGAAATTGCACAAAATCAAAATCCTGATTCTTGCTTCAACATTTAGGGTAAACATCCTTTCAAGTAACTCTCCAATCCCAATTTATAGACTGGTATGTCCGATTTACAACGGTACCCTTTAAACCTTCATCGAGCAAAAAATAAAAAGATAATATCGTTTGTATAAATCTTGAAAATTTCCTTTGTTGTTTCTGCTGCATAATCCACAAGTCAGATTTATAGAGAAGTCACAATTAAAAATAATCACTTTTCACATTGAAAAACAAGAATAACTCGTGCATCAGATAAAGGTTAAAGGATACCGTTGTGATTTGGACATGCCACATCATAAAAAGAGGCGCACTTAAATTTACATCACTTTAAAGAAAGCATTAAGATCTGAATTTATTAGTGGGAAACCCGTCCTGGTTTTATCTGATTTTGCGTAATTATATTCAGCCTGCAGAACCTGCAGATACTGCATGGCACATGCTTAGGCCAAACTGTGCAATTTTTATAGATCTGGTTTCTAAAAAAATTTAGAAAATGAATGTTCAACAAGAATTGGGATTTTTGAATTTAAGATTAGTAGAATATTGTTAATGTGTGTAGGTTTCTGTTTTGTATAAGATATAAAAGACCCCAGACCGGGAAGGTTTCCGTCAAAGGTGAAAAATTTTGGCCGGAAAAAAATTCAACATTTATTATTTTTATAAATGCGGCAATTTAAACTAAAAAATCTGCGAAAATTTGAGAGCGATTAAAAATGGCGAATAATAACTAGAATTGTTCATAGGAAAGGGGCGAAAAACGCACTAAAATCCTAGTGTTTGAATATGTGTACTAGATTATAATAATGCACAAAGGTTTTAACTAATTGTTTGTGCGGTATTTTTGCACTTTATTTTTATCCAAATTTGTTGATTTAATTAACCGGATATGTTATCCAATGATGATGATGATGACAATGATACGGATAATGATGATGATTGTGCTTTGTCTTTGTTTGTTCAAAGGATTTGTACACTGAACCAGAATTATATAAAATATTAAATTAAATCACGCTGGGAGTAACCTATCTCCATCTTTCTATCTAAAATTAGTACTTTCTCACTGTCGAGTCTCATAAATAATATTTCTAATATTTAAAACCATTTCTAGTTTATCGCCTCACCCTAATTAAAGCAAAATGGAGTCACGACTTTTTCTCGTGATGAGGTTGCAGGTTCAGGGATTGTTAGGGATTAGAATTCCCAGCTCTCCAACCTTAAATCTAGACTAGAGCTAGATCTGTGCAGTTTACTTGCAGTTGGGAAGATAGTCTCATCCAGTGAAAGAATGAGAAATATCTTTATCCTTCTATGCTACGGATCTGTAGTTTGGGCGCAGATAAGTTTTCAAGGTTCGGGATCATCTTCAGGCTTCTCTGGGTCCTCTGTTATATACACAGGATCAACAGGGAGGGTTTCTCCAGGTACGTCAGGGGGTTTTCAAAGCAACAGTAGGTTTGGAGGATCAGATAGCTCTAGATATACGTCCAGCAGCTCCTGTTGTAAACCTGCCTCACAGTGTGCCTCTAGCTTGCTCTCATCTTCAGATAGATTGAAAAGTTCATGTAAACTCTCTGATGGAAGTTTTGGTTTATGCTGTAGTTCTGGAGGATCAAGCAGTGGATCTAAATACCCCTTCACACCCGCAGACCAATCTAATTTTAGCATTAGAAGTGCTAGTTTATCCAGTTCCCAGGTGTCTACAGCTGTCAGAAGAGGGCTGAGTTTTGTTGACAATGCAACCCTGTTCTCAAACAATTTTGCGTCTCCGGCTCGCAGTACTGGTGCGTTCTATCATGCCAGGTTTCAAAGACAAGCACGATCGGAAACCGGTTTACAGGGGAAATCAGGGTTAATCCTGGAGCAGGTTGCACGAGAGCTCTCATTTAACACAATAACTGTAAGACAAGCGGGAGGAAGTGCAGATGCGGTTAATTTTGGTCCAAATGTACAGGCTCGGCAAAATCTTGGATCCGGAACGTGTCCCAGGTTTTCCTCCTGTTCAAGCTCCAGGTACAGATCAGAAGACGGCAGTTGTAACAACGAAAGAGATGGAAACTTGGGAAAGGCGGATACAGTGCTCAGTAGAATCCTTCCGCCTCAATATTTCAATGGTGTAGATTCTCCTAGGCGGAGTATTTCCGGCGGAGATCTTCCGTCCCCACGGCTAGTTTCTACAAGCTTAGCTAAAGATGTTGATACCAGTGACTCTAGATATTCTGTTATTCTAATGAACTTTGGACAGTTCATTGATCATGATTTAACCCATGTTCCTGTAATGAAGGCAGGGGATGGAAGAGATCTAGATTGTTGCTCTAATATTGCAGGATCTGAGTTCTCTAGTTTCTGCTCTCCTATCTCCATCCCATTCAACGATCCATTCTTCCGAGGGCGAAAAAGTTGTATGAACTTTGTGAGATCTTCTCCAGGCCCAGCCTTGGACTGTAGTTTGAGGTACAGGGAGCAGATGAACCAATTAACTCATTGGTTGGATCTAAGTCAAGTTTATGGATCTTCGCTCATGGAGCAGAGAGAGGTGAGAGCATTTACCGGAGGGAGATTATTGATAAATGCTGGTCCTGATGGTCCTCTGCTACCTGTGGATACACAGGAAACATCATGTAAAGCTGGAGCATGTATGAAAGCTGGAGATGGACGGGTGAATGAGCAACCCAACCTTGGGGTTATGCACATTTTGTTTCTCAGGGAGCATAATAGAATAGCAGGCGAGTTATCAGCATTGAACCCGGGTTGGAGTGACGAGCAAGTGTTTCAGGAGACAAGAAAGATACTGATAGGAGAATATCAGCATATTGTTTATAATGAATGGCTCCCTATTATTCTTGGAAAACAGTTTATGGGATTGTTTGGATTATTTCCTCAATCTCAGGGATATAGCGGCGATTATGATCCGTCAATAGATCCTAGAATAACAAATGAGTTTGCAGCAGCAGCTCTCAGGTTCGGACACAGTCTTATTCCTAGCTTTATCAGGACTAACAACAGAATAGGGAGAGAAGTAAACCCAGCCTTCTCTCTCAGGGATTCCTTCTTTAAACCGGAACTTCTCAGGTTGCCCGGAATGATCGACGGTCTAGTGTCTGGGTTAACCAAAGAAAGCATTCAACAGTTCGACTCTTCCTTCACATCTGACGTTACAAACAATCTGTTTGATGGAGACGCAAACGGAATGGATTTAGTTGCTCTGAATATCCAGAGAGGCAGGGATCATGGTCTTCCAGGATACACAAGATATCGGGAGCTCTGTGGGTTGGGTTCGACAAACTCCTTCTCCGATCTAAGCAGACAGATGCCGTTCAGTAGAACTGAAGAACTAAGGAATGTTTATGATTCTCCCCAAGATATAGATTTATTTATAGGTAACTATTTGAAAATCAATTTAGATTAATGAAAAAATTAAAATTTATTTGTATTTTAGGTATGATGAGTGAAACCCCTGCTAGAGATGCTCTGGTAGGACCAACAACTCTTTGTATCCTGGGAGATCAGTTTGCCAGGTTAAAGAAGGGAGACAGGTTCTTCTACGAGAACGGAGCTCAACCTGGTTCCTTCTCTTCCCAGCAGCTGGAGGAGGTACTGAACTCATTTACATTTTTATAATATACTTTTTTCTCAATTTTTTTCTTCTAGATCCGAAAGTCTAGTTTGACCCGTCTGTTGTGTGATAACAGTGGTGTAGGTGAAATCCAACCATTGGGTTTCCAGACTCCATCAAACTCCAACCCTCTCATCTCATGCAACAATAACCAAGCTGTACCCCGCCTCAATCTTTCCCCCTGGAGCAGATCTAATGTCTAGTAGGAGGGGTTTACTCGGAGTAGGACTAGTATACTCGGAGTAGGACTTGTATACTCGGAGTAGGACTAGTATACTCGGAGTAGGACTTGAGGACTTGTATACTCGGAGTAGGACTAGTATACTCGGAGTAGGACTTGAATACTCGGAGTAGGACTAGTATACTCGGAGTAGGACTTGTATACTCGGAGTAGGACTAGTATACTCGGAGTAGGACTTGAATACTCGGAGTAGGACTAGTATACTCGGAGTAGGACTAGTATACTCGGAGTAGGACTAGTATACTCGGAATAGGACTAGTATACTCCGAGATGGACTAGTATACTCGGAATAGGACTAGTATACTCGGAGTAGGACTAGTACACTCCGAGTAGGACTAGTATACTCGGAGTAGGACTAGTATACTCGGACTAGAACTAGTATACTCGGAGTAGGACTAGTGTACTCGGAGTAGGACTAGTATACTCGGAGTAGGACTAGTATACTCGGAGTAGGACTAGTATACTCGGAGTAGGACTACTTTGCTCGGAGTAGGACTTCTATAACCGAATAAGTATTACCAAATAATCCAAAAAAACTAAATTACTCAAAATATTTGTATTTATTCCTCTAAATAAACATTTTTAATAATTATAAAAAGAAAAGTTTAGAATTATATTGGCAAGGGGGAAATTACAAGCGATTACAGTTGTCAAGTTTAAGAGATAAAAGAATTAGAGTTAAACCCTAAGATTATACAAAACTTTTATATCATTAATAAAGGGCAATACAGAGAATATTAAAAATGTGATGTTCACGGATTTATTAAGTTTACAAAATGGATTATATTTTAGTAGTATTGCAGGGATAATAATGTGAGGCAAAGTTTTATGGTTGATTTTTTTAAAGTAAATCTGAAAATATATCTGGAAGTATATCTGAAAATATATCTGGATGTATTTCTGGAATTTTATCTGGAAGTATATCTGGAAGTAAATCTGGATGTATACCTGGAAGTATATCTGGAAGTATATCTGGAAGTATATATGGAAGTATATCTAGAAGTATATCTAGAAGTATATCTGGAAGTATATCTGGAAGTATATTTGGAAGTATATCTGGAAGTATATCTGGAAGTATATCTAAAAGTATATTTGGAAGTAAATCTAGAAGTATATCTGGAAGTATATCTGAAAGTATATCTGGAAGTATATCTGGAAGTATATCTAGAAGTATATTTGAAAGTAAACATCATGGAAGTATTTATGGAAGTATATCTGGCAGTACACCTGGAAGTATATCTGGAAATATATATGGAAGTATATCTGGAAGTTTATCTGGAAGTTTATCTGGAAGTATATCTGGAAGTTTATCTGGAAGTATATCTGGAAGTATATCTAGAAGTATATCTAGAAGTAAATCTGGAAGTGTATCTGGAAGTATATCTGGAAGTATATCTGGAAGTATATCTGGAAGTATATCTAGAAGTATATCTAGAAGTATATCTAGAAGTATATCTGGAAGTATATCTGGAAGTATATCTGGAAGTATATCTGGAAGTATATTAGAGGTATGTTGGCACCTAAGTAAAGGTCCAGGTCTGAAAGTAATGAATCAGGCTGAATTGTAAACCCACTGCCAACAATATAGATCTAATCATTCTTCATCACAAAATTTCAAAAAACCTCAGTTTTAAAGAGACTCTCGACAATTTTTTAAAAAATTTTACTTTATTTGACGTGTGCAATAGGAAAATTAGGGTATCCTTTAATCTTGTATTAAAATAATGATGGACATGAAAAAAAGTTATCCAATTGCGACAAAACGTGAACAGGGAAAAAACTCACAAATCTCAAATCGAGAAAAACATTGGCAATCAATATGAGAAAAATAACGAGTTTTCTTCTATAATTTCTCAGAAAGATTTAAATGTTGAAGAAGATATTAATTTACTTCGAAATTCACTGTGAACTAAAATATACACATTCCTACGCAATATTTTGCCAATAACCCCTTAAAATTCAGGTAAAAACAAGCACGTTTTGAAATATTCACGTCACGAACTAAACAAATTAAGTGTAAGGATGTTGGTTAGATTAAACCAAGAAGAAAGGGTCAAGTGACACTTCGATTTTGGCCCTGTCTGAAAATCTGATGAATGATTTTATTTATCATAAATGTTCTCTTTCTTGCCACGGGCAACGCCGAGCCTTTCGGCGAGTAATTATTAAAATTTTAGGAATACGTTTATTTCAGAAATCGAAAGAAAAGAAAAGCAAATATGTTATGCGACCCTCTAATGACGTAGATTAAAAAATGCCCATTTCATATTGAACATGTTAAAGATTAATTGAATCTGGGTGTATTCAATATCAATACTTTTAGCATAATTTTTACCAGCAGTATTATTTCAACTGTGAAATGTAAAGTGAGATTCATAAAAATGTGAAATAGAAAGACGACTTTTAGACTCGAGTAATGATTATACATAGTCCAATGAAATACAGCTATTGTATAGACTGTAGACCCATTTCAATTAATGAACTGATGTTGAAGGAGTTGAAGCTATTAGTAACCTTTTTGCTTTATTATAACATCGAAAACACATAAGATTGCCTAAAGGTCATTTTCTTTTTCCATAGTTTCATGTGTCTCACTGTATAACAATAATAATAATAATAATAATACTATGTGGAAATATTGTAAATAACAGATAGGATTATTATTATTGAATTATAGAGAAGTAAATCTGATTACTCCAAATATTCATCAAATATGTTATTAGATGAATATCAGATCTAATCAATCATAATTTATTCTCAATAAAGAAATTGAGTATCTGTTAAAATTTTCACTTAAAATTTTACTCCTACTTTAATCTCCCCTTCCTTCCCTCCCATCCTACTCCTAGTTTAATCCTTCCTTCCTTTTCCATCCGACTCCTGGTTTAATCCTCCCTCCCCCTTCCATCCTACTCCTAGTTTAATCCTTACTTCTTCTTCCATCCTACTCCTAGTTAAATTTCCCCTTCCTTACCCTTCCATCCTACTTCTAGTTTAATCCTTCCTTCCTCTTCCATACAACTCCTAGTTAAATCCTTACTTCTTCTTCCATCCTACTCCTAGTTAAATTTCCCCTTCCTTCCCCTTCCATCCTACTCCTAGTTTAATCCTCCCTCCCCCTTCCATCCTACTCCTAGTTTAATTCTTACTTCTTCTTCCATTCTACTCCTAGTTTAACCTCCTCTTCCTTCCTCTTCCATCCTACTCCTAGTTTAATCCTCCCTTCCCCTTCCATCCTACTCCTAGTTTAAACCTCCTTTCCCCTTCCATCCTACTCCTAGTTTAACCCTTCCTTCCTCTTCCATCCTACTCCTAGTTTAATCCTCCCTTCCCTTTCCATCCTACTCCTAGTTTAGTCCTCCCTTCCCCTGCCATCCTACTCCTAATTTAATCTCTCAACCCTCCTCTTCCATCCTACTCCTAGTTAATCTCCCAACCCTGCTCTTCCATCCTATTCCTAGTTTAATCTCCAAACCCTCCTGTCCCCCTTCCTGAACCTGAGTGATAAATCAAGGTTTTAGTAGAACTATCGTGCCAAAACATTCTGGTGATGTTGAAAATATTCAAGAAGAAATTTAGAGGGAAAAATATTGGAAATAACGAGGTTCATTTTATTTAGTATTTTTACATTTAATGTTCTCTGCTTGGCCCAGGTTTCATATTTTATCGATGATTTTATGCAAAGATTGTTAATGCACCAAAAATTCATTTTTTCGTTAACATTTTTTATTACAAAATGGAAATTGAGTTTGAAATATAAATGTTGTTTATGGTTTCTGAATAGCTTTTTACCAGTATTTGTGTTTTAAAGGGACTGTAAAGGAAGAATTAAAGGGGGTATAGGCTAAAACCTAAGCAATATAGGAGTTGATCAAGACCCATGAGAGTTCTATCTGATATTACTTATCTCGAGAAATTGATAAAAAACTGTGTCAAATTTATACAAAAATCTATATGTATAAAATTTTGTATAAAAATATTAGATTTAAACGGATCAAATTCAGCAAATACACAACCAATCTGAAAACAACAATATCCCAGAGGAGCCTAAGAAACTTAGGTTTGCTCCCATTATTATTTGAATTTAATAATTTTTCATTTTTAAGAGATATAATTGAAAATATGATAACTACGACAGTATCAAATGACCATAACTCCCACCAATTGCAGTGCACTATCATTATCATGTGACTCCGTCTGAATCACATGACCAGTATACCGCACTGCCATTGTTGGGAGTTCTGATCACGCTATACGGATGTATAAATAATATTATCAATTATATCTTTAATAAAATGAAAGATTATTAAATTCAAATAATAATAGAAGCAGATCTAAATTTCTTAGGCTCCTCTAAGATATCGTCGTTTTCAGATTGGTTGTGTATTTGACCCGGTTAAACCTACTATATTTATACAACATTTTTAACATATGTATAGATTTTCGTATAAATTTGACACAGTTTTATATCAATTTCTCGAGACAGGAACATCAGATAGAACTCTCATGGGTCTCAATCAGCTCCTAAAATGCTTAGGTTTCAGCCTATACACCCTTTTCATTTTTCCTTTACAGTCCCTTTAAGCTGACTTCCAGTCATTCAAGTCTCAGCTTTTCCGGGTATTCCCTTTCTCCAACCCTGGTTAATTTAGTCCCTTATATACCGTCATCTTTTTTGTTTGTTTTTTATTTTAGTCTTCTCACGCAAACAAACACAACAGAAATTAGAAGTATGTTTAGTGCAGAGCATTAAACAGCTCTGCTACAGTGAAACTCGTAAATCTGTGAAATAAGAAGACGATTAGATTACACTATTAGATTGGATTAGATTAGATTAGATTAAATTAGATTAGATTAGATTAGATTAGATTAGATTAGATTAGATTAGATTAGATTAGATTAGATTAGATTATATTAGATTAGATTAGATTAGATTAGATTAGATTAGATTGGACTATTAGACTCAAGCTATGATTTACAAATAGTCCGGCCAATGAACATTAAGCACAGCAATGTTCAAACACTCACTTAAAGGAAGTGTCCAAAAATAAAGTCTAGAATGAAATTTATGCAGGATGGAGCTCGCTGTCATATGCAGCTGGTACAAGCCTCCATGGTGGCTCCAGGATAAAGATAATATATATATATAGATACGCTGGCAGGTAGAAACCTCCTTCCTAAATTGCTTGTAGCTCCAGGACCACCAGGTTAACTTTTGGGGGAAGGAGGAATGGTCTCCTAACTCTCAAGACCTCAATCCAATCGAAAATCTGTGGTCTGTATACTGGAGGAGAAGATGAAGACGGAAAAGAATCAGCCTCAGAATATTGCTCATTTGGAAGAGCTACTGAAGAGGTTCTGGAGAAACATCAGCCTGGAGACCCTGGTCTCATCTATGCCAAACCGAGTAATAGATAGTCTGGCTCCTCATGTAATATAATAAATTTCTAATTAACAATTTTTGACGCATCTAGAACATCATTTTTAGTGATGCATTACTTACACCCTATATTTGGGAAAATGTTTCTCAAAGGAATTGAGTTTTTGCCACAAACTCAAATTTTCTAATCCTTATATCTTGGCAACCTAATAGTGGAAACCCTTGATATTTCATCTTGATCTTCATTTGATCTAACAAAATTCATAGTTTGAAATATCTAACGTCTACGAAATTGGATTGCAAAGATATAGGTATTAGAAAATCAGAGTTTGTGACAAAGACTCAATTCCTCAAGTAAGGAACATAATATTTTCCACAATTTTGAACTTCTTGCGAATAACTGTAAATGTTATAACTGTTATGTCCAATACTATCCCCTCCTGGATATTAGAGGGAGGAGGAGTTGGATAATGGAATAGATCCTAATAAAGATTAGAGTTAAACCTGGAGAACAAGCAAGGTTCACACCAAACCTTTATTTTCCACGTCTACAGAGTCTCGTGTACGGAATTGATAGGGGTGGATACAGGATTTAAGTGAGGGGGGGGGGGGCAAGATTTTTTAGGAACAAAAAAATTCATACTTTTTTTTGACTGAAAAGACTCAAAAAGAGTCAAAATTAATGACTAAAGACTAAAAAACTAGATTTTTAACTTTTCACACATTATAGTTTATTAAGACAGATATTTTTCCTGTTTTGCACTAGGGTTTCTTTCCCTTAAGCATGCTATTGAGAAGCTATTCTGAAAATAGGAATAAAAAATTCCAAATTCAGGGGGGGGCTACGCCCCTCCCTGAATCTGTCAGGGGGGGCGAATGTCCCCGCCCCCCCCTGTATCCGCCCCTGGGAATTGAAACAGTGGATGCATAAAATTCAGAAAGAAAATATTCGATTCTTTTGAACAAGTTCCCAACCCAAGGAGGCAATTAAAGTTGGTAAAATTTAATATAGATTCTGTCCATAGAGAATAGATTATATAGAGAGGAATTAAAAGAATCTCTCGGTATGAATTTTTTCAGTCCCTTTCAGCCTGAAAGGGAGTTCAAAATGTACAAATCATGTAAATGTTCACAAATTATATGAATTAGAGTACATTAATACAGTATGTTCCCTAGACTATCCACTTCAATTTCGAATTTTTTTAAACTGTTAAATAAACTTTATAATGAATTAGTTGAAAAAAAAACATCATTTGATTTATAGTTATAACGGAAAATCATCGTTTGTAACGTGGAAGGCATAGAGTCTATGTGAAATGATCATTGGTCAATTATGAAACCTGCCTATTTCATAATTTGGTTTTCTTTTGACAATAATTTTAGATTTTCTATATAACAGGTTATATAGCATAAATATGTGAAGTACACCTGCAGTATGGAAACAGTACAACAAAATGGCCGTTTTACACTTTTTTCTAGTAAATTCCTCTCTATATATTCTATTCTCTATGATTCTGTCACAGTATAGGAAACAATTAACTCTCAATATTACTAGGGAATACAAATACCTTGGTTTCCACTTTCAGAGGTTTTTATTATTAAAAATACATTTACGGTTTAAATCTTTAGAAGGAAGATTATCCGCCATTTTAAATATTTGTTTTATTAGTAAAATTTATTTGAATCCGATGTTTCTGTGAAAAGAATTCATTCATTTTTGAAAATTTAGTTATGTTTATAGCCTCTAGAGGGCCCCTTTCTAATTTCTAAAAAGGAATCGAGTCTAGACTTCAAACATAAGTAAATTGCACATTAGATTGAACTCGTGTATGCATGGATTTCAATCACAACTCATACTGTCTTTGCTACAAACTCTAATCTTCATATTTTTGAAGCCCAATGTCGTAGACTGTATTGAGGTTACAAACGATATCTATCAAAGTTAAATTAGAAAATTTAAGTTTGTGAAAAAAGACTTAATTCATTTAAAGAAAGTGCTCAGCGCAGACATCTTTTAAAAAACGTCGTCACTAAGGTAAATTAGTTCTAAAAATCGTGTCCCCTGAGAAAAAAGTCTAATGTCATTTCAAGAAAAATTTACAGTATAAAAAAGCATATTTTGGATATTTTTATTTTAAACATTTAATAATTTGATAAACCAAAGTTTTCTATTTGAATTAGATTTGTAATCAGCAATTATGGGATATTTTCAAAATGTTCTAAGGCAACTGCAAAATCTTCCTCGCTAATATCAAAGCAGTTTCTGTCCCAGTTTACTCTTTGTGGTTCAAGTTTAGTTATTTCTCGGATAGGACTTATCTTCTTTTCTTCAATCTTATCCTCATTACTTTCCAGGATAATCTCAGGATTTTCAAACTTTCCAGGTTTAGGTTCAAGTTCATTCTCTTCAGATTTCTTAGCCAGGAGTGCTTTTTTATACCTGAACAACTGCTTAGGAGTAAGACGGGTTTGCTCCGTAGAACCGGAAACCTTGGGACAGCAACGGAGAGGATTGCATATAGAGAATACTCCAAGTCTACATAGAGCATACAGGGTGGATAATATAAAGGTTCCAAGAGGAATAAGACTGTACATAACTTCCTCCTTGAGTTTCTTCAGATCTAGCTCTGTAAGAGCAATATTAGAATCTATATGAGATATCCAACATGGATATGAACTATCAACGGAACCAAACTCAGAATAGAAATCTGAAATATAAAAATTATAAAACCAGAATAATTTATAAATAATAATTAAATAAATATATATAAATCTACCTTCACACTGTAAACTAGGGGGATATCCGCATCCTCTAACATTAGGATATAGTTTAGTTGGAAGGTTGGCTGAAGAATCAGGAGAAGAAGGGATGGATAAAGATGATAAACTGGACCAAGGAGGAGGTATTGGACGTGAACCAGAGATAAGAGTATAGTTTACAACAACATGCCAACATTTATATATTTCTGATGTACAACCATGTCTACAGCTTGTCCATGTACAGTTAGATATTCCAATCAGATATGCACTAAATATATAAGATATATTAGTATTTATGTACAGTTAGATATTCCAATAATATATTAGTATTTATGTATGGTTATATATTCAAATCAGATGTGCACTAATATATGTACATATATAGTATTATATATGTAAATATATTAGTATTTATGTATGGTTATATATTCAAATCAGATGTGCACTAATATATATACATATATAGTGTTATATATAAAAAAGCGTGCATGTATTGTCCTATGAAGGGACCAGAATGTTTATCATTATATCATTTTAAAAAAACGTGCATGTATCGTCCTATGAAAAAACCTATATTTTTATATAAAACCATGCATGTATTGTCCTATGAAAGAACCTAAATTAATATATAAAAACGTGTATGTTTTGTCCAATGAAAGAACCGGACGTCATATATTGTTATTAAAAACGTGCATGTATTGTCCCACTCCTATGAAAAAATGGGACGTCCTATATAAATATATAAAAATCGTGCATTTATTGTCCTTTGAAAGAACCAGAAGGCCTGACATTATTATATAAAAAACATGCATGTATTGTCTGATAAAAAAACCAGAACGCCTTTCATTTTCATATCAAAAAACGTACATATATTGTCCTATGAAAGAATCAGAACGTCCTATATTGTCCTGTATAATTCGAACTAATGAAGCAGGAACTTCCTGTAATAGAAACTAATGAAGCTTTACAAATATACTGGAGAATTCCCCAGATACTCGTATAGATATATATATCTATAAGATTCTATATATTTTTATGCATATATATATATTTACAGGATTCAATATATATTTATATATTCACAGTGTGTCCCACTTACAAGACAACAGAGAGGCGAATTAAAGATCTTCTTTAATCTTTGATACCTATCTCAAGACAAAAGATTAAAATTTGTTTCTTCTCCATAATGTGGTGTACCACCTGAGCTGGGATCCCTTCAGGGTACGATTACCATAATGATATCTAATAAAGATTAAAGTAATCTACAGATTAGTATTACATAACAATTTATCCCGATATCATCAATACAAGAGTTCCTACATCTGAAAAGCTTTTCAGAAGCACTTACAAAATGTTTCCTTACACTACGTTTGGTAACAGGAAACATTCTGTAAGAAACGTTCAGTAAGGAAACGTTCAGTAAGGAAACATTCTGTAAGGAAACGTTCAGTAAGGAAACTTTCAGTAAGGAAACGTTCAGTAAGGAAACGCTCAGTAAGGAAACGTTCAGTAAGGAAACTTTTTGTAGGGGCACCGCTTTTACGTCGTGCAAAACCTCTTGTAATACAAAGATCAAAGACGGCCTTTAAGTTGTCCTTAAACTGTTATGTTTTGTTGGATACCCGGGTATTACACATATTTACAGGATTAATTATATGTGTGGAGCCCCTGTTGGATTCCTGGAATACAGCATTCTCCATACTTCATATGTTATTGTTTTACTGATGGTATACTGTATCTTGTAAAAATTCTGTGTTAGATAAATATACATACTTCATATGTTATTGTTTTACTTATGGTATACTGTATCTTGTATAAATACTGTGTTAGATAGATATACATACTTCATATGTTATTGTTTTACTGATGGTATACTGCATCTTGTATAAATTCTGTGTTAGATAAATATACATACTTCATATGTTATTGTTTTACTTATGGTATACTGCATCTTGTATAAATACTGTGTTAGATAAATATGCATTCATTTAGCTAATGACTATTCATTCTTACTTATTCATGCTTATTAACAACCCGCTAAATATGTATCTATGTGTACCGTATAATGTCTATTTATATATAAAGAACCTGTAAAATCTTTCCCTGGGATGTTTAGAAAGATGATAATTTCCCTGTATGATAATTAAAGGACTGCAGTTTGTTTGTTTGTTTGTATCCAAGTAACTCAAACAGCTGAACCGATCGGGCCCAAATTTTGTGTAGGACCTCACGTGACCCTAGGGAAGGTTCATGAATGATCAAAATTAAAAAAATGTGTTTAAAAGTTTTTTTGCTTTTGTAAAATTTTTTCAAGTCACGAAAATCCGTTAGTTATTTTTATAAAATCCGCGAAATTTTTGTTCTTTGTTTTCATTGAGAGCATGTTCACAATTGAAATAAAAGCCTAATATTTATATACATACTTGTCTATCTGTTTGTTTGTTTGTATCCCATAAACGTCAACACGGCTAAATCGATCCGGCCCAATTTTTGTGTGGGACCTCACATGACCCCAGAAAAGGTTTATGAATGATTAAAATTGAAAAAATTAGCCTCCAACAAAATTTGAATTCCATTAAAAGATGAAAATCCACGAAATTTTTTTTAAAATCTGCGAACTTTTCTTATTTTTACTTTACAATGTATATAATGAGAAAATGTTCACATTTGAAAGAGAAGATGGGCGCGAAGCCTAGTATTTACAGAATTCTAGATTGAATCTTCTCTACAGATTAACACATATTTATAATTTTCTTTGACTTTCATATACTGAGTTTTCAATAGGCATGGCCGGGTGAATACCAATCACTGTTTTTATATTTTATATCTATTCTAATAAATATGAGATTTTCTAATTAATTAGTTTCTACTGAGTTTTTTTTTAATATCTTCAGTTTCAAAGATTAAAAATCAGGTGGCGGAAACGTCATGTATGTGTGTCTGTACCAAAAGAGTGTGCGTAAGTGATAACGAACCGAAGACGTGTACTGCATACGTGTACAGTGCGACTGGCTTTCTCATGCCAGACCTTTCCCTTCCCTGTATTCTTATTCCCAGCAAAAACTAAAAAAATAAAAATTTATCAATTTTCCTCTTGGCCTTATAAAGATATGCTCTATATACTAAACTAGTAGAAAGTATGTTTGGATTTTCTATGATTAAATCTCGGAGTCGTATAAAGCTGCATGAAACTGTAAAACATGTTTATGTCACATCAAACCTAACCTTTACCATGCTAAACCTAGAGAACTAAAGGAGCAGTAGAAACTTTAACCTAACCTTTACCATGCTAAACCTAGAGAACTAAAGGATCAGTAGAAACATAAACCTAACCTTTACCATGCTAAACCTAGAGAACTAAAGGATCAGTAGAAACTTTAAAAACCTAACCTTTACCATGCTAAACCTAGAGAACTAAAGGATCAGTAAAAACTTAAACCTAACCTTTACAATGCTAAACCTAGAGAACTAACGGATCAGTAGAAACATAAACCTAACCTTTACCATGCCAAACCTAGAGAACTAAAGGATCAGTACAAACTTAAATCTAACCTTTACCACGCTAAACCTAGAGAACTAAAGGATCAGTACAAACTTAAACCTAACCTTTACCATGCTAAATCTAGACAACTAAAGTATCACTAGATACCTAAACCTAGACAACTAAAGGATCACTAGAAACCTAAACCTAGACAACAAAAGGATCTCTAGAAAACTAAACCTAGACAACTAAAGGATCACTAGAAACCTAAACCTAGACAACAAAAGGATCTCTAGAAACCAAAACCTAGACAACTAAAGGATCTCTAGAAAACTAAACCTAGCTATAGGATCACTAGAAACCTAAACCTAGACAACTAAAGGATCTCTAGAAAACTAAACCTAGCTAAAGGATCACTAGAAACCTAAACCGAAAGAGCAGAAATATCACTAGTAATCTAAACCTGGAGCACTAAATAATCACAAGAAACCTAAACCTAGCTAAAGGATCACTAGAAACCTAAAAACTGGAGAACTGAAGAATCACTAGAAACCTAAACCTAAATAACTAAAAAACCACAACAAACCTAAACCTTATCTAGATAAACCTAGAAACCTATAGGATCACTAGAAACCTAAACCTTATATTTGTAAAACCTGAAGGCGAACAATAAAAGATTTAGTTAAAGCGTGTAAAGTTACTTTCTAATATGCAATCCGGCATAGTTAAAGGTTTAAGAAACATGAGTAATTGGCAGAGGAGAATACCTACTGGAGAGGTTTCCTAGACCTGAAGCTGTAGTGCTGAAGTTCTTTCAACACTTACCCTGATTATACATACACCCAGAAGTGGTTTTAAGGGACTGTATGCTTAATTTTAAGTGATCATGCATGCAAGATGTCAATGTAAGATTCACAACGGTCCCTTAAAAGTTTTGTCTAATCAAGTGTTAATAAGATAATAATGTTTATAATTTTAAAAACTGACAACATCATAGATAAATAAATAAACATAGATAGCTTATGTACGCAAAATCACCAATAATTGTACAGTCCGCGAACTCATACTTCTAGGGGTCAAAGTGTACTTCAATGATAAGCGGGGTGGTTTGGTGTTTTAATGGATTTCAAAATAGAGTGTAAAATAACTCCGGGAACGGAACTATTTGAACAACAATATTTTACTGAGCAATTTATCATATTGACGAGAACTGAAGAAGGACATGAGAAGGACTAAACTAACTTAAATTTCTCTCTACAGAACTCATGTACACCACAAGTACTCATTGACATAAGAACAGCCAATGTTCACAACCGACCTAGGTAATCTGTAGAATAGGAATATCTTTAAAACATCTCTGTACATTTATATCTTTCAAGATGAAAAATTTCGCCTTATGCGCAATCAATCTTTATCTATGGATAACATTCAGCTGTTTCTCTACTGCAGAAAACATGATCAGAATTGAGCACTCTTGAACCTAGAAAAACGACAATATCTTCCACATTATTGATCAAATCAAGGTTCCAACACCGTTGTGAATTGGACATCGTTACTTTGCACGGAGGGTAAATTAAAATTACGCATACAGTCCATTTAAGACCATTCAGCAATTGAAAACTATTGTCATTGAATAAAAAACCTAAATCCTTTGCCCAATATTGGAAGCTATTCAAACTAAGCTAGATTAACAACACTTTTAAAATCTACATTCCACGCGGGTTTATTAGCTTTGTCCTTTTGATCACAATTTGACTTTCAAAACGTAATTTTTTCCATTTTTATACTTTTTTTTCGGAGGATTCGTTTTAATGAAAATTAAATATTTAAGGACAACTTTAAATTCAAATTGGAGAAGAAGAACCCAAACTCATCTGGTGCAGGTTAGTCCAGGGTGTTAAACCTATATTTTCTTCAAAAGGTGTACAGTGTACACACTACATACCTGTACACCGTGGTACATGTAGCTGGTTGGAACTGTAGTACCATAGTGAGTAGAGCTGGATCGATGTACCATATAGAGGTGAATATAAAGGATATCAGGGATAAACCAGATATACCCCAAACCAAACCCATCTCTATCTCAAGGATCCAGCTGAATAGCTTACTCCACTCTCCAACAAACCAACCAACAAACAGGCGTTTAGCCTAAATAAGATATATATTTTAATTTTCAAAATTATTTTTTCATGATGAAAACTTAAATATAAATATTGTAATTAGTATCTGATTGCCAGGCCCAAGTTATATATTTGATAATCAATAAGTAATCGTAAAGCTTTAATTTTTTGTTAGAATTTGACCAGTCACTAAAGAAATTTCCTCCGTACAATAAGCTTTTGTTTTGTCTTGTCCTTATTTCGCTGACTCAAATACTAAAATTTAAGTAGAAAAGTCGTTGTATCTTGGCACAGTTGTAAAACAAGATCTTTACTAAACAAACATATTTTAAGAAATCAGTTATGCTCTTTTACATAATACACTAGCTGAAGGGCTCGGGGTTGCCAGTTATAAAAAATTTGAACAAAAAATGTTAAAAAAAATATTTTTAAAAAATATCTATAAAGAAATTTTAATTCTTCTCAGCCTACAACATCCCCCGGCCATCTATGAGTGTCCACAAAAAAATTCAGCCCAATCGGTCAAGTAGTTTGGCCGGCTATAGGCAACATATATATATATATATATATGAATGTCTTGTTTTATTATATAGATAACGCGATATTCGACACAGCCAAGGAATGTAATATTGAAAAGTATATTTTACTTGAAGATATGAACAGAGGCTAACATTTATCACTCATTAACATCGACTGAACTCAAAATCCTCGGCATAAATTTTTAAACTTAGAGACTTCTTTTTATTTAGAAATATACAGAAAAACCACCAAGACTTTTTTAATTTAACGAGATTTAAATTATATTAAATATAAACAGTTTAAAAAAACAAAAAGATAGATATCGTATTAATACTTAATCATACAAAGCTGTTAAGGTTACTGTTGTTATTGGTGCATTATCATCTTTACATGCAGGGTAAATTGAAAATACACTCACAGTTCATTTAAATTAACTAACAGAGCGCTTGCAGAACAGATTATACAAAAGTTTGAAAATTGTGTGTTTTAATTCTGTTACAACGCTTAGCCTGCTATCTTTCCCTTAGCACGCAAATCTGCCCCTTTAGTAAAAGTAAATTAAATCTATATGCAGCATAATATTGACCGCGTCAACCTTGTTGCACCGGCTAGTCCTGTCCATAGAGCTAGGTACAGTACAAACTGGGACCGGAAAGGTTGACCCGGCTCGAAAATTCTAATGTACTACGGCTGCCCGTGCTAGATGCGTACTGTCAAAACCTTAAATACATCCCTAAGAGTGAATGAAAGGATCGGAAGTTTTTGTTTAAATGTAAGACTAATAGGTCTGACGGCGCGCTTTGATTTTAAATATTTTAGATTTCAATCTAATATGAAGTTTTTTTTATTTGGCGTATTTTGACATTTCCAAAAATAGATTAAGAGACAATTGTTTCTATGCAGATGGAAAACAAAAAGAAAGTAGAAAGAAGATTTTCTAAATGAAACATTCTCCTATATATTCCCAGGATTATCTTAATATTGCAAAGTTTCCGTGTAGGATCTGTAGGATCGAGTTTAGCAAAGTTTTCAACTAAAAATTCTATTATTCTTTTCTACCAGTTTACCAGCTTATAGTTCCAAACTAACAAACTGAATACATCAAGACAGAGACCGAAGGGNGGGGGGGGGGGAGTTGGAATGATATTTAAAAACGTAAAAGGAATTGAGTCTTTTTTTCTAATCCTTATATCTTTGCAACACAATATTGCAACTATCAATTCTATTAGATCAAATAATATTAGTTTAAAATTATTTACAAGTTTATAAGTTTTACATCATAAGAATGTAAAGATATAGGGATTAGAAAATTTGAGTTTGTGGCAAAAACTCAAATCTTTTATTCAGGTTGTACTAGTCACTTTCAATGACAAAGTGTTCAATAGGAAACTTCCAAAAACAAAGCTATAAAGCTAAACTTAAAGCAAGCCCTTCAACAACAAAAACGACCAAAAACGGATTTTTTCTTGTTTTTTTTGGCTCTTACTTAATAGAATTTTCATTTTGTTTGTTTTGTTTTAACAATTTTTTGTTTTTTATTTGGTTTCTCCCTCCCCACCCTCCCCATCCTAATTAAAATACAAAATTTTGTGACTTACGAGTCGGCCTTCCAAATATAAATTAATATAATATATTTCCCAACATAAATTAGGCTGACGAAACAGAAAGAAAAATAAATTGTTCCATATCTGCTGAATTCAAAAATATTCAAGTTCAATAAAATTACAATTAAATTTCAATAAAATTGAATAAAATTGAATTTTGATCCAAATTCAGAGTTAGAATAGGAAAAAAGAATTCGGCTAAGAATTTGACAATTTCAAAACTGACAAGAAGAAAGTGGCAAATACCCACATAATACAAAAAAGTAGCAAGGATGGATTTCCACATAATACAAAAAAGTAGCAAGGATGGATTTCCACATAATACAAAAAAGTAGCAAGGATCGATATCCATACAATTCCAGAAATAGCAAGGATTGATTGCTACACAATTCCAGAAAGTAGCAAGGATTGATTAACTAACTTAAATTTCTCTCTACAGAACTCATGTACACCACAAGTACTCATTGACATAAGAACAGCCAATGTTCACAACCGACCTAGGTAATCTGTATAATAGGAANGAAAGTAGCAAGGATTGATTGCTACACAATTCCAGAAAGTAGCAAGGATTGATTGCTACACAATTCCAGAAAGTAGCAAGGATCGATTTCCACACAATTCCAGAAAGTAGCAAGGATCGATTTCCAACTCACATAAAACTAACTATCTAACGAATCATATGAAGTGTCCACATTTTTTCTAATTCTAAGTTCTTCGAAAAATCTTCATTGAACGGGTGAACATGGGATTTAAAGATAAGACTTGATGACTTTTAACCAGAAGCAGAATTTAAAGAATTTGAGCCGCGGCTTAAATTTAACCACTTAAAATTGTATTTAGTTTTTCAAGATTTAAGCCGGTGCTCAATTGAAACCGTTTTTTTGGTGATTTGAGACGCGGCTTTTATACATTAAATTCGGACACAGGACCCCCATTTTACCGTGATATAGCACAAAAATATGTCAAGGACGAATTTCAAGTTTTGAATTGTAGAAAGACTGTATAAAGTTGAATTTAGTCTAGAAGGTTGATGGATCCCTGCAAGAACTATCTGATAGTTCTTGTAATACTCTCAATATTCTCCAGCATTATTCTAAACCACAGAATCCAGGAATAGGAATTCAATCAGGTTCATCAGGTCCAATCTTACTTATTCAATCATCCTCTTAGAGAACTCAGGAGATTATGGATTTGATCCGAACTAAGTGAACATATATATTGTATATACATATACTTAATAAAGCTCTTAACTCTAATATATATATATATATTTATATATGGATTTGATCCGAACTAAGTGAACATATATATTGTATATACATATACTTAATAAAGCTCTTCACTCTAATATATATATATATATATATTTTTATATATGTTTGCTATGATGGCCAAATGGCTGGACCAACTTAGCTGAATTTTTTTTAAATCGAAATTTCTTTTTTTTTCAAAATTTAAAATTTTCTTTCCTCGAAGTGTTTTTAAAATTCAACGGGCAACGCCGGCACTTCAGGTAGTAATATATATAATACGTATAAATTTTCAAGAATCCGTTTATGAGACTAATTTGAGTCTCTTTTCTTCCGATCTTAAGGTATTTTGTAGATTATTGAATTCTATTTCAAAAGTTAAAAACAATAGAACACATTTTTTAGAAAGGAATTGAGTCTTTGCCACAAACTCTAGTTTACTAGTCCAAATATCTTTTCAATCCAATTTCGTACACCTTAGATATGTCAAACTATGAACCCTGTTAGATCAAAGAATTTAAGTTTGAAATATTAAAGGTCTATCAAAGCTATATAGGGATTAGAAAATTTGGGTTTGTGGCAAAAACTCATTTACTTTTATTGCTTACTTGTGGTGTATCCTATACGGATGCTTAATTTTAATCGCTTTTACAAGGTACATTTTATAAAATATACACTTACTTACAAGGTTTATACGGTATATACGTTTTATACGTTTATACCAGTTTTATACCATTTTATCAGAGGAAAATAGATATATTCCCATTTATAAATTCAATATTTAGATATTTTGATCCTTTGAAGATTCAATATTTAGATATCTTGATCCTTTGAAGATTCAATATTAAGATATCTTGATCCTTTGAAGATTTAATACTAAGATATCTTGATCCTTTGAAGATTTAATGCTAAGCTATATCTTGATCCTTTGAAGATTTAATACTAAGATATCCTGATCCTTTGTGTATTTAATATTTAGATATCTTGATCCTTTGAAAATACAATATTTAGATATCTTGTCCCTTTGAAGATACAATATTTATGTACATTGTCCCTTTGATGATACAATATTTAGATATATTGTCCCATTAATGATGTAATATTTAGATAAAATTGTCCCATTGAGGTTTGAACTCCCAGTTTTCACCCTGACTTGGAAAAAACTGGGATTCAAAAAGTCGAGTTTAAGTCGAGTTTATGCTCCCAGATTTCACCCAGTTGGTGACTGGAATTCAAAAGTGGAGTTAAAGTCGAGTTTAAGTGGAGTTTTGAAGTGGAATTTAGAATTAGTTGACATCTAGTTGTATCATTCACTTCTGTTTCCTGGGTATAATATCCCATTGATGATACAATATTTAGAGAACTTGTCCATTGATGATACAATATTTAGGTATATTGTCCCATTGATGATATAATATTTAGATATATCGTTCCATTGATAGATACAACATTTGGAGAACTTGTTCCAAAAAATTTACAATACTAGATTGGTAACCCAGATTTGCCTGGAAACTAAGTTTTCCCCTATCAAAGTCAAACTAATAAAACTTAAAAACTTCTAAACCAAGTTAAGAACATTCCTTTGGTTCTACCGAGTTCCTGAAATATGAGTCAAATCAAGGGGTTACTGAGCTACGATCAGAGTTGCTACTTTATTCATAGATTCTGTTTACTTGTCCTCTATGCAATAAAAAGCTTGAATATTAATTTGTTCGCACGTTTTGCAAAATATTTGCTTTCACCAAACAAGACAAATTTAATATTGTGTAAAAATTTCGTTTTAGATTTTAAATGAAAATAATATTGTGTGAAGAAGGACATAAAAACCGTTGATGTTTTTTATCAGATCTGAAGAGGGAAGATTGATGATTTATGATTTTCCAGAACCACAGTGTTCACAAGTTTATTATTTTCTTCTTGTTTACCTTATATATCTATTATATACATAATGTACTTTTCACCTCCCCCTCTTCTCCCCCCTCTCCTACCCCCCTTATTTTCCCTCTTTTTCACCATCTGAGTCCACATCACGTGGATTTAATGGTTCTGTCAATATTCCAGAAAGCTATGACTTTTGATCCCAATTTCTCCTATTAAACATAATTTTTAGCCTTCTTTCTTAAATACTTTTTTTCCGGCATATATGTTTTGAATAAAAAGTAAAAAACAAACAAATCCGTAAGTTTAAAGATTATTAAAATATAAACCAAAACGCGTATGATTTCGAATAGAAGAAACCGAATGCCTCTAACTCTGGTTAGTCTGGGGTTAGTCCCGCTTTATTTATTCCCTTCTATCCCCTTTTCGCAACATATTTCTTCTTATTACTATCCTTCTCAAAACATCCCTTCCACTCCTCATTCCCTTCCACTCCTCATTACCTTCCACTCCTCATTCCCTTCCACTCCTCATTCCCTTCCACTCCTCATTCTCTTCCACTCCTTATTCCCTTCCACTCCTCATTCTATTTTACTCCTCATACACTTCCACTCTTCATTACCTTCCACTCCTTATTCCCTTCCACTCCTCATTCTATTTTACTCCTCATTCCCTTCCACTCCTCATTCCCTTCCACTCTTCATTCCCTTCCACTCCTCATTCCCTTCCACTCCTCATTCCCTTTCACTCCTCATTCCCTTCCACTCCTCATTCTCTTCCACTCCTTATTCCCTTCCACTCCTCATTCTATTTTACTCCTCATACACTTCCACTCTTCATTACCTTCCACTCCTCAATCCTTTCCACTCCTCACTTCTCTATCTCCTTCTTTCTTCCATCCCTTGTACCCCTCATATCCCACACATCCCTCCTCCCTTCTCCGCATTACTTCCATCTATCATTTTTATTTCTATAAGTTGTTAGTTCATTGTCGAAAAATATTAATAACCCTCCACCAGTTTATATTAAATATAATGTAAACAATAAATATGTAACTTTCCTTTTCCTTTCCTTTCCTTTTCCTTTGATTTCTATTTTTTATATTTTTTTTGTAATTGGGGGAAATATTCCCAAAACCTCATTTTTGGAGGTTCTAAAATATTTTCTCTTGAAACACTTAATTTTGTATGTTTTTGTTACATTTAAAAAATAAATAATTACTTACTTACTTGTCTCCCATCCCCTTTAAATCAAACCCCTCCCTCCTCATTTTTTAAATCTTTATACTCTCACCCCTTCTTCACGATAACCACCCTCCTTCTCTATTTATCTTGTGCTTACACCCCTTTCTCTAATTATCCCTCTCCCATCATCCTTCCAAACCTTGTCTCCCCTCTTCTTCCCCTTTTCTTCGCACATATCTTTTTACTTCTCCATCCCCCCTCTTTCTTCTTACATATCTCTTCACTTCTCCATCCCTCCCCCCTTTTCTACACATATCTCTTAACTTCTCCATCCGCCCCCCTCCCAAATCTCTAAACATTTCCCCCCCCCCTTCCTTCTACCCCAAACTTCCCCCCTTTTTTGTAATATGAGGTTTATTGAAGGTGACGATATCATCTTTCCTTGAGTAAACTAATTATCCTGAAGGAGACATATAATAATATCTGATGTATTCAGTTCATAATCTTCATTTTTCCTTATATACACATTGCACATTCTTATCAGTAGAATTTACATTTAAAGAGTTGGGTCTTTGCAACCCAATGTCGTAGACCTTAGATATTTCAAACTATGAATTCTATTCAGATATTTAGAAGTACAATAAAAAGTTTTGCCTGTTTTTTTCAAATAATTCTTTTCCAAAAAAAAATTGAACTAAGAAGCTAATTACATTAAATAAAAAAAATCTTATGATTGCCCAATGACGATCAAATTTTGACGACAATTTATAAATATTTCAGTATCGAACAATCTGCAGGATTATTACTACATTCTAAATATGATGAAACAAATAAATAAATAGGGTGACTGAAACATGAAACAAACAAAAAAGAAAAATGAAAATTTTTTGCATTCTCATTCTTTATGGGTAAACCAGAGATCTAAAGTTTCAGAAAATAAATTAGACTGTTAGAATTTTAGTTTCCTTTTAGCATGAAACTTGTGGCACTATCGTAAAATTTCAAACTTAATAGTTCAACTTCAATTATGACAACTTCTAAAATATTAAATGTAATTAGAAATTCCAGGTTCCGGGCACAAGAAAATGAAAAAGAAACTAAAAAAAAACTTTCATTAAAAAAGTGAATTTTTACCGTTTGAAGTTTTGACGTTTTTACATTCTGAGTTCCCATTTTACCGGAGTAAACATTCCAACTGGGAGGTTTGGAGTAGAACTTCACTTCAGCTTTTATCCTCCGCTCCTTCAATCTTCCGTCCTACTTGTTCTACAGCTTCTCCTTCTTCCATCCTACTGTCCTTCAGCTTCTTATCCCCGTCCTGCTTGTCCTTCGTCTTCTCCTCCTTCCGTCCTACTTGTTCTACAGCTTCTCCTTCTTCCGTCCTACTGTCCTTCAGCTTCTTATCCTTCCGTCCTACTTGTCCTTCATCTTCTCCTCCTTTCGTTCTACTTGTACTTCAGCTTCTCCTTCTTCCTTCATACTTGTCATTCATCTTCTCTTCCTTCCGTCCTACTTGTCCTTCAGCTTCTCCTCCTTCCGTCCTACTTGTCCTTTATCTTCTCTTCCTTCCGTTCTACTTGTCCTTTATCTTCCTTCCGTCCTACTTTTCTTTATCTTTCATATTTTCCTCTTTCCAACCCAACCATTTGTGAATGTATCCTTTATTTTGTACTCCTACTTGTCTTTCATCATTCATATTCTCGTTTTTCCGTCCTACTTGACCTTTATATTTTCCTTCTTCCGTTCTTCATGTTCTTTATCCTTCATCATTTCCGTCCTACTTTTACAAGTAGTTCTTGTTCTCCATTGCTTCCTTTTTTACCAACTTCAATCTGTTGGTTGTTGTATTGTGTTATTAATTTACTAGACGTATAAACCGAAGAGAAGGAGGAGGTTTTTTTTAGATTCTACAAGTTGAAGACAGAAAAAATAAGTTTCTAAAGTTTATCCATCTGGGTTTCATGTTCTCCTGACGGGATTAATTATTTTCTCCAGGTATCTTCTCTCACACGGAACCAATCTAACAATACTATATCCGATACTAGCTCCCACAGAAAAACACTTAATAGATTTTACAAAGCGAATAAACAATTGAGTTGATTGAGTGTATTCCCTATATTTTGAAAGCAACCCTTCCCCCCCCCCCTCCCTCCCTCCACTTCCCTATCTTATTATAAACACTACATTGCTTGCTTTCTCTACTATATTTCTAAACTCTGCATAGTGTACAGGCAGCCCCAGGAGCAAAGATAAACCTGGAGACTAACCATGAATGATCTAGACAAGGTTGAATCTATTCTCTTCTCTCAAGAGAAAAGGTTCAGGTTAGTGGATATTCCTGGAGCAGGGAGAGGTCTCATCTCAACCTCTCTTATCCAACCAGGAGATATCATCCTCAGGGATAAACCTGTGATATTAGGTGAGATATTTATATGTTATGAGAACAGAATAAACAAGTAATGAAGAAATATTAAAGAAGAAAAAGTCCAGAAATGTATTCAGAAACGGAATTTGATAAATTGGAGAGAGGTCGCTGAACATCCTGCCGCCGGATCAAATCCTGAATCACCGATTCAAAGTTAAATTTTCATGAGGATTTGATTCCGTGATTGAGAATTTGAATAAAATTTGGTCTCAGTATTATAAGTTATTCAAGATTATTTTGATACCAAGTTTCTTTTAAGATTCGTTGCAAATGAAGTTTCTCAAAAACTCTACGATGAAACACTGAGCTGTTACTAAAACAGTGTTCAGTTATCATTAACTTAAAATATAATTCTTCTTCATCCTGTACCCTTGTTGATATTGTTCATCCTGTACCCATGTTGATATTGTTCATCCTGTACCCATGCTGATATTCATGAGAATTCCCTCTGAATGGTTTCCAGAGCAGAACCTAAAAGAAAAAATCATCGCACTTCAATCTGTAATAGAAAATCTATCTATCCAATCTAGGACCTGGAGTAGCAGAGGACGGAACCTATTGCTCTGGTTGTGGAGATATCTCCGGGTCAAATCTAAACCTGATGGAGAACTGTTCCTGTGGTTTAAGGTTTTGTTCCGTATCTTGTAAACAGAGGTAATTGCAAACAAATGTTGTTTGACATTTAAAAAAAAAAATATGAAGATTCATATCTTCTGATTTGGGCCATAAATCTTTGTTTCCCAGTCGTTAAAAGATCTTTGAAAGAAATATTTTGTTCAGATAAGCTTTGAATTTTATAAGAATTGTACATATATTGATAAGGCGTTTATAACAATATTAGCTTGGAAACCCAGTTTTACCTGGAAACAAAGTTTTCTCTATAAAAGTCAACAAACTCAATTTTACAACAAGCTAAGAATATTTCCGTAGTTTAGGAATCAAAATTTGAGGACAAGGGGCTCATGATTAATGATCGGATATAGAAACAAACAAACAGACAGAGATTACTGTTTTCTTATATAAAGATATATTGGATTGTATCGTCTTTACTTATTATCTATAAAGCTGTTTCTTTTAAGCTGGCATACTGAAGAGGAATGTAGAATAGTTTCAAGCATACCAGAACCTAAACCTAATCAAAACTACTGGGTAAGTATACCAGAACCTAAACTAAACTATACTGGTTAAGTATACCAGAGCCTAAACCTAAACTAAACTATACTTGGTAAGTATATCAGAACATAGACCTAAACTCCTGGTTAAGTATACCAGAACCTAAACTAAACTACTGGGTAAGTACACCAGAACCTAAACCTAAACTGAAATACTTGGTAGGTATACCAGAACCTAAACCTGAACTAAACTACTGGGTAAGTATACCAGAACCAAGACCTTAACTACTGGTTAAGTATACCAGACCCTAAACCTAAACTACCGGTTAAGTATATCATAACCTAAACTAAACTACTGGGTCAGTATACCAGAACCTAAACAAACTACTGGGTAGGTATACCGGAACATAGACCTAAACCACTGGGTAAGTATACCAGAACCTAAACATAAAGTACTGGGTAAGTATACCAGAACCTAAACATAAAGTACTGGGTAAGAATACCAGAACCGAGAAATAAACTACTGGTAAAGTATACCAGAACCTAAACCTAAACCTAAATTACTAGGTAAGTATACCAGAACCTAAACCTAAACCTAAATTACTAGGTAAGTAACTATGTTTATATATATTCTGCTCTGACTGAATATATTGCAGAATAAGTTTACTACTCGAATATAAATCATGATAAATGTTTAGATTGGAAAATATTCTACTTCGGGCTTTGTTCACAATTTTTTAGGAAAATCTGTTTGTATAGTCCATATATCTTTGCAATCCAATGTCGTAGACCTTAGATATTTAACAAACTTTTAATTCCGTAAGATTCAATAATTTAGTTTTGAAATATCAAAGGTTTACTCCATTAGGTTGCAAGGATATATTGAATATTAGAGTTTGTGACTAAGACTCAATTTATTTTTTACAAATTGCAACCCAATGTTACAGACCTTTATACAAGGATTTATTTAGTTAATAACTCTACCAGGATTAGTTTAGTTAATAACTCTACGCGGATTAGTTTAGTTAATAACTCTACGCGGATTAGTTTAGTTATTAACTCTACGAGGATTAGTTTAGTTAATAACTTTACGAGGATTAGTTTAGTTAATAACTCTACGCTGATTAGTTTAGTTAATAACTCTACGAGGATTAATTTAGTTAATAACTCTACGAGGATTAGCTTAGTTAATAACTCTACGAGAATTAGTTTAGTTAATAACTCTGCGAGGATTAGTTTAGTTATTAACTCTACGAGAATTAGTTTAGTTAATAACTCTGCGAGGATTAGTTTAGTTATTAACTCTACGAGGATTAATTTAGTTAATAACTCTACGAGGATTAGTATCAGAAGATCCAAGGATTGGATTCCTTCAAGAGCTCACAGTGCAGGAGGGAGCAGGTACAATTCTACCAAAAACGGATTAATTGTAATTAAACGAGATCTGTGGCCGAATTTAAAGAATTTGAGCGGCGGTTTAAATTTAAGCCGCGGTATAATTATAGTTGGTTCCACTTAAAATTGTATCAAATGTTTCAAGATTTAAGCCGGCGCTTAATTTAAACCGGGTTTTGGCGGATTTAAACCGCGGCTCAAATTCTTTAAATTCTGCCACTGCAGTAACAAATGTAACAATTTTTTTTAATGAAATAATAACTAATTTCCCCATTGATTTATTAAAGGTAAGTTATAGAGCTGAGACGTGAAATAGATTGTATATTTCCAGATTACACAATTACTAAAAAGAAACTGATCACTCGACCCAAAATCTAATTTTTTAATATTTTGATATTTAAAAATATTAATTGAACTAGCTCCAAAAATAGGAGTTGGAAACATCAAAGGTCTGCACCATAGGTTGCGAAGATATATGATTTTAATTCAGGCCGGAGTAAGGAAGAAGATGAAGTAGTTAAACTTCTCTCTTCATTCGGATTCAAGGAGAAATCTATCCTGACAGTTTACAGGTTTAATCTTTTAAGTTCACATTTTCATGATATCCTTATGTTGTAAAACTTTAATATTACAATACAACAATTTATAGGGGTTGTACTCTGTATATGTATAAGGGTTGTATACTATATATGTATAGGGGGGTGTATACTGTATATGTATATGGGTTGTAGTAAACGTAGTCTCAATATATTCCATTCAGTCGCTGACTTTATTTTATTCAAAGAAAAAGATAAATATATGGATACATATGTGTAAAGATTCTCAAACTTTACGTAATTTGTACTTGTTGTATAGTTTTCCTCATCCTACAGTAAGTTTGTTCCCTATTGAGAGAGAACAAAGTTAGCCTCCATCTCGGAGTACAGGGATCAAAACTGAGAATTCTTAGTTTACCGAATTTTCTCTTGAAATTGAATTTCAAACAATTTTTGGAACATTTCAATGATTGGAAATTTTAGATTCATAATTTTTATTGATAAGTTTTAATTGTGATACGTTTTGTAGTTAGATAAGCTTTGTAGTTTAGTAAGTTTTGTAGTTTAGTAAGTTTTGTAGTTTAGTAAGTTTTGTGATGATAAGTTTTCTCGCTGATATTATATGTTTTGATATGTTTTGTGGAGATAGGTTTAGTGACGATACGTTTTGCATTTGCTCCAAAAATTGGCCTGGTACTTTCACAGTGGTATACAATATATCTATATATAGATTTGGCTTGTCTGTCTGTTTGTTTGTATCCAATAAACGTCAAAACGGCTGAACCGATCGGGCCAAAATTTTTTGTGGGACCTCACGTTACCCCAAGGAAGGTTTATGAATGATCAAAATTTAAAAAATTTGTGTTTAAAAGTTTTTTATTTTTGAAAAATTTTGAAAATGCGCAAAAAATATTATGAAATCCGCAAACTTTTTTTTGTTTTTGTTTTATACTGTACAAAGAGGTTCAGAGATAAAGCCACAATTAAAAGTTGAAATAGAAGATGGGCGCGAAGCGCCCTAAAAGCTTAGTATAATATAAATGTTGTGTATAGCCGGCCAAACGGCGGGACCGATTGGACTTAAATTTTTTGTGGTCACTCATGGGTGGCCCCCCCGGCTAAAAAATCAAATTTTTTTCTTCAAATTTATTTTTGTTTTATTCAAACTAAAATTTTTTTGCACGGGCAACGCCGGGCCCCCCAGCTAGTAAGTAGTAAATTTATATCATAAATAAACACATTTCCAAATGTATAAGGAATAAGGAACGCTCAGGCGGATGAACACAACTCTTTCTTTTTTATGGGTTCCCTCCGATAAAACATATTTACTAAATTCCAAAGCGGATTATTGAAAACGTAATTTTACAAGAATAAAAATAAGCATAAACCCTGAATTTTTATTTAAACCAAATCATTCAATTTGTTGGGGACCCATCATCCAACACCCGAAACAGGTTGTTTCATGAACACCAATTTTTAGGACTATATTTTTCATTTGTGATATTTATTTAGAATTCACTTTTATAATTAGATAATTAGTTTTAAGTTTGTGTGAGTAAAAGAATTTTATTGCAGCTTAATTTCCAATAGTTAGACAGTTCATTTTATCAAACTTTATCATATTAATTTAATATTAAAACCCGGTATTTCGCGCCTGGAAAGTTTTATTGAATTTTATAAACTTTTAAAAATCAATTTTCTAACTTTTTAATAATATTCTAGATTACATTTTTAATACTATTCTAGATTACATTTTTAATATTATTCTAGATTACCTTTTTTCCAGCGACAACATGTAAAAAAGATAATAGAAGTTATGCCAAAGAAACTGAAAACTCAGAACAAACTACTTTCCTTTTATCTTTGCAGATTTACGGTATCAGGTTGTAAAGACAAGGGGATTAGAAATCAGACATGGTGGCGATTCATCGTTTTCTTTAAATTACAATGGTTTTCACTTCAATTATTTTTTTCTTAAGTTTGGCCAGATTTAATCTTAAAATGGAGTATTTTAATTTGAGAAAGATTATCTTTTTCATATTGTTTTAAATATAAAATTTTTAATAAAAACAACATTTTTTTCTGCCTTTTTTAACAAGATTGTTTTGACAAATGTTGTCTAGACAGTTGACCGCCAATACATTCCGACGAGGGCGTGGCCGAGGTCTGTGTGCAGGCGTGGCAATGGTCAACCATTCATGTTCTCCCAACTCAAGGGAACAAAACAGAGAGAAAATAGTGAATATTTAAAAAATAAATTCTCCATTTTTAATTATTTTAAAAAGATATTACACATTGTTTGTCTCGAAATACAAAATTGTATGTCTTAGTAAATCAATATTTGGCAATAGCATTATTTGTAGATCGAATACTATCTTAGATGAGAAATTGATCTAAAGTTTTGGTACTCCCTGTAGACAAATGAAAGTCTTCCATTTTCTTAACTCTAAGAAGGCAAAGTTTGGTTTGTCACGCACTCAATAAGAAATATGTGCATTTAGATTTGATTCTATAACTTATTTGATCTTTAGTATTTCACCACAAGATTAGACAGTTTTTGACTGGTGGAAACCATGACTGTTTTGATTAGAAAGACGACATTATTCAATCTTTAGTGTATAAGATTAAAACAGTCCTGCCATTTCAAAAATGTGGTCTGCCATTTTAGGCTCTCAAAAGTACCAGAGATATTGAGAATTATGTTTGAATTTAAATTTTATTAAAGAAAATCATGAAAATGTCTCATTCTGAACGAAATCATTCATAACTCCGGTAGTTGTGAAAACACAAAAATGGCAGACAATATTTTAAAATGGCAGGACTAGGGCTATTCAGTGATTATTGTTTCATAAGAAAAATATTTCTAAAATCAGGTAACCTACGTTGAACTTGAATGCCGTAAGCATTTCTAAAGTCAAAGCCGACTTTGAAGTCATCAATCATTCAATATACATTATTTTGGGTTAATTAGAGTTTAACTGTAGCATAGCCTGAGCATTAACAAATTAAGTTCATTGGAATATTTGAAATTATATTTTAGTCTATGCAGTCGTCTTCATAATCTACAGTTTAATGGGTCCCACTGTATATTCTGTAATCTCCCTGATTTTGCCAGGGTTTGGTGGGACGAATCTGGATCTCTTGTTCTCAGTGCCAGGGTAAAAATTAGATCTATAAATCTTCCCTTTCTTTCTAGAGACCACATTCCTTCTAATTAAATCTAGCTGGTCCTGCAGACAGACAAATATTTGACAATATCTGCTTTTTTACTTATTTTTATGATAATTATTTTTCATCGTAAGAACATTCAAAACAAAAATAATCTGATTTCTCTTCATAAATTTTAGTATGAAATATATATTTAACAAACTTTAAGGTTTTACAAACTATGAAGTCTGCTAGATGCAATAGTCAGAGTTTGATATATCAAAGATTTACAACATCAGGTTGCAAATATATAAAAATAAGAAAATTCGAGTTTGAGTGGAGATGATATAACCGTTATCTATTGTTAACCAAGGTTAAAAATAATCAAGGAGATGAGATAATCCTAAATTATTGTTATCCAAGGTTAAAACTACTCCTAGAGATGAGATAACTCTGACCTATTGTTATCCTAGGTTAAAACTACTCCTGGAGATGAGATAACCCTTACCTATTACTATCCAAGGTTAAAATTACTCCTGGAGATGAGATAACCCTGACCTATTGTTATCCTAGGTTAAAACTACTCCTGGAGATGAGATAACCCTGACCTGCTGTTATCCAAGGTTAAAATTACTCCTGGAGATGATATAATCCTGACCTACAATTATCCAAGGTTAAAATTACTCCTGGAGATGGGATAACTCTGACCTATTTTTATCCAAGGTTAAAACTACTCCTGGAGATGAGATAACCCTGACCTATTGTTATCCAAGGTTAAAATTACTCCTGGAGATGAGATAACCCTAACCTATTGTTCACCACTCCTGGGTCAACCGAGCAGAAGAAACAAGCTTCTTCAATCCAAAGGATTTATTTGTAGGTAAAAATTTTTATTTCATATTGTAACACATATATTGTAGTGATATTGTACAGTAAACCCCATAAAACTGTGGAATAGAATGAGCAATGAATACAGACAAACCCATTTTGCTTAATATGTTGGTTTTCAAGCAGCTGGTAAAAGTATTTTCTTTAAAACATCTTGAAATATGAAATATCTATAACATTGCTTAAATATTGTCTTATTATTCCGCAAAACTTATATTGCATTTTAAAATCTTCAAAAAGTTTTGTTTTTAAACTAAAAGATTACTGAGAGAGAAAAAAAAATATTGTTTGAAATAAGGACAACGACATGGGTTGCAAAGATACAGGAATTAGAAAATCAGAGTTTGTGACAAAGACCTATAATTTCTTTCTGTAACATTCATAAAGGAACTGAACACGAGCACATCTTTTCTAATCCCTATATTGTGCAACATTCATAAAGGAACTGAACACGAACACATCTGTTCTAATCCCTATATTGTGCAACCTGATGTTGAAAACCTTTGATGTTTCCAACTTTGTCTATCATTTTGAATTCAGCGCTGTTGTAACAGCTTAGGTAATGGGCAACATCTTATTTAATGTCATGATGATTAAAGAGATCTCAAGCTTTAACTTATTGTGGCATTTATATTATATGTAATATATAATATTCTATACTGTACTGTTATTTTCACTTACCACTAGGGTGGGGCCACATAACCGCGAAGCGCAAATTTTTTTTCCTCCCCCCTAGGAGCTCCTAGGGGGGGAGAGGGGGGGGGAATTTGAACGGTAAATTCAAAACCTTTGGCTTCTTTTTCTGCCCATAGTAGATATCGAGATCTGTGGATCACGATTATAGGTATCAAACACATAAGTTCCCAGAATTAGAATTAGAAAATTAGAATTTGAGGCTGGTATTTAGTTCTTTGTCTCCTGTCCATGCATATTAAAAAACAGTATTATATGTGAATATATATTAGAGGGTATATAGTATATACCAGTATTATATATATATATATAGGGTATATTAGAGGGTATATATAATGTATACCAGTGTAAATAATATTACCCCGGACACTTCACACAAAGGTCTGATCGATGCAGGACGAAGGGAATTCTATTATATAAAATACACCATGTAGGAGGAACAACATAATAACACATTAAATATATAAACAACTCAATACATTTATACAGGGAAAATGATAAGACTTCAGAGACGACTGTCCGGGATTTATTCAGTCTTTATTCTTACTTTCTTCTTCTCTGCAACTGTTAACTTTTTTTAAACAAAATCAGAACGTATATCACTTAAAACTAAATTCAATACAGGGATCAAATTTAGGCAGATTATGTCCTGGCATGTCTTTTAGTTTTATGTCATTAAAGTCTCATTTTTTCTGGGAAACCCATGTAAATTTATAAAATACAAGCTGAAGGGCCCGGCGTTGCCCGTGGAAAAAATGTCTTTTATTATATAGATTAAAGCTATACAATACACATACAAGCATCATAAAAACACACATAACATCTAAACAGCTTAAAAAGCAAAATATTTTTAAAAATATAATATAAAAACCGCACTGTGTTTCCCGACCAGGGAATACAAATTTATATAAGGGCACTTGTCCAATTGTAAAGTATGTATTGTGGATGGATATGGAGAAAAATTAGGTTTACTATAAAAGAAATTTAGTCTTTGCAACAAATCCTTATTTTTAAGTCTTTGCTTTGTTGTATAGACCTCAGATATTTCAAACAATGATTTCTGTTTGAAAATATCACAGGTTTATACCGTCCGGTTGCTAAGATTAGATTGGAAAATTTGAGTTTGTTGCAAAAACTCAATTCCTTTAACAACGCTACACACAATTCTAGTACAGAACATCTATACAGTACAGGGAATAATAGTTCCTCCCCAGAGAACAGGGACATTTCACAGACTCTAACTACGCAGCGTGTGCTAGCGTAACACTCCCTTTAAAAGAAAGTATCACGTTGACAGTCCCTATAATATTGTAAGGTGTCCAAGATGTCAGGATGGTACAGAACTAGGGACATATATGAGGTACATACAGGGTGTTTCTCTACAACTGATATTTTTGATTTGCTAACATTTTATTGAAAAATGCCCAAACCTTGGATCAAAAATCCGGTAAATTGACCGGCTTGAAGGGAAATTTTACATTCTGTTTGAAAAAAATGGCTCCAGTCAGAATTGATAGGTCAAATAGCCCTTTTACTGAGGAGGAGAAAATATGGATTATCCTGGAATATGGAGAAATGAGCTTCATATCAGTTGTTAAAGAGAAACACCCTGTAGATACAACAATTTATTTTTATGTATACTAGCTTGGTAAACCAGTAGCCCAATTTAAAGAATTTGAGCGGCGGTTTAAATTTAAGCCACGGCTTAAATATGGTTGGTTCCACTTAAAATTGTATCAAATGTTTCAAGATTTAAGCCGGCGCTTAATTTAAACCGGGTTTTGGCAGATTTAAACCGCGGCTCAAATTCTTTAAATTCCATCTCTGGCTAAGAACATTACTGAGGTTTTACCGAGTTATTCAATCAAAATTTGAGCCAAATCGGTCCAGGGGTTCATGAGTTATGATTGGATATCCAAACAAACAAACAGACAAACAGGGATTACTACTATTTATAAAGATATATGTAAAGGACGGGGTTTTAAAAATCAAATAAAATTATTCTGAATTATCATTAGCTTTCCCGTTTTTATTTGAAGAAATGGACTTTAACTGTAATGGATATTTATGAATTACTCGTTCAAGCTTGATTCAATTATAGAAAATACGGATTTTAAAAGCTGCAAGTTCATAACTAAACAATTAAGAAACTTCGGTCATGCAAAGGTAGAATTTAGGCCTATCGAAAACTATTGTATTTTTTGTAGTTTCAATTAAATATCTTCAACTATTTGATTGGCTGAAATTTATCCTTATAATATTTCTGATAAATCTTGTTAAATATGTCGATACCTAGTCCATCTCATACATAAAACTTAAATACAAACAGAATTTAATTCTAATAAATCTTGATAAAAGATGATTCAAAATTGATATTATAAGACCAAACTCTTACATATTGTTAAGGTTCCTTAATCAGCAAAATGAATATAAAAAATTCTAGATTATAAAATTGATCAGTTATTTTTTAGTAGTATCCGATGTACCAAGTGCAAGCCAGGATTAATTTGTCCTGTTGGATTGGATGAGGACAAATTAGGTTGGATTTGCTCTTCATGTGGTTTCAAACCTAACCCAGAGAAGGTAAACTAATCTAATACAAACCGTAACCATAAGCATTGAGAAAACTTACCCATAAGCATTGAGAAAACTAACCCATAAGCATTGAGAAAACTAACCCATAAGCATTGAGAACACTAACCCTAAGCATTGAGAAATCTAACCATAAGCATTGAGAAAACTAACCATAAGCAAACAAATTTGAGACCATGTGATTTAACCATGAATAAACCTCATTGAGGATATGTGAGCTAACCATGATTTACCAAATTGAGAACATGTGAACTAACCATGAGTAAATCTAATTGAGGATCTGTGAGCTGATCATTTTCAACCAAATTCAGAGCATGTGAGGTAACCATGAGTAAACCTAATTGAGGATATGTGAGCTAACCATTTATTACCAAATAAAGAACATGTGAGCTAACCTTGAGCCAACAAAATTGAGGATCTGTGAGCTAATCATTTATTACCAAATTGAGAACATGTGAGCTAACCATGAGCCAACAAAATTGAGGGTATGTAAGCTAACCATGAGCAAACAAAATTGAGGTGATGTGAGCTAACCATGATTTACCAAATTGAGACCATGTGAGCTAACCATGAGCAAACCTAATTGAGACTTTTAAGCTAACAATTTGAGGAAAAACTCAACCCGATTATTTGTGGCACCCATATACAAAAAACTCGACAATGTCTGCTTACCTTGAGGATAAATACCTTTGAAGCTAACTAAACTATCCTCATAGTAGTAAACTACTGTCGACGTCGCATATATCAATATAATAAAGACGACTTTCGATTTTAATTTTGATTTATATCAAGTTTTTAAACAGCATGGATTCATTTGAACATAGAAACAAAGAGAAGCTGGAATTAAGAAAGCTTATCTTTAACTACTTGTAAAATTGTAAACCGAAAAAAGTGTATTAACTATCAAAACATAAATAAAAAGTTGTCTTTATTGTATTGATATAATCCACGACCACTGTATATAACGAATTTAGTAACTGAAATATAGAATCTAGGTTTCTGGATTGCTGAAGAAGGTTGAGGATGAACTGTATGGGCTGGAGAAGGAGAAGGATCCAGGACGTAAACTCCTCCTCATCCAACAATATATTGAGAAGAATAAGAAACTGTTTAGCTCCGACCATTTTCTTCAGCTTAGAGCAGGAGAGAGACGGATAATAAATAATTTATAAATTCTTTACCCGACCCTGAGGCCAATATCATCTAAAGAAAGGGCGGAGGGGTGAAGGGGGGGGGGAGTGACAAGTTCTATTTCTTTGTAAAACTAATGAATTAGATTGATTTTACCCTATCTCCTGGTCCCAGGAGATCTAATGGTCGGACTGATGAACAAATTAGCTCCAAGTACCAGCTGTATCCAGACTAAAGAATACTACACAAGGGAACCAGGCTTTCTCGGAGAAATATTAATCCAATCTTTTCATTTCTAATTCTTTTTAATCCTTGAAGTTTGATGTTTGTAATTGAAAGCCTGAGTTTTAGGCAAACATTAAAGGTTTTAGAAACTTTGGATCCTGGGTTGTCAAGGTTCAAAGGTTTTCAACTCTTTAAACTTTATCAAATTCTATTTGAAAAGGTGAGAATAATCTGGTTTAATGGACTAGTGACGTTAATTCAAGTAACCCGCCATTTCAGGGGACATTAGTTTCAAAACTAACATTTGGCCCATTTCTAACACTGAGGGTTTGAAATGGGCACAAATAGAAAGACTGGGGTTTTAAGATCCCGGCACATATTAAGAGTAAAAGTCGATAATAAAAACTTTAACCAACATTTTATTAAGCATGGCAAGGACAACAATTCAGAATTTAAAACTATTTTCTTGTTTAAAAATTTAAAAGGAGTTCTTTTCATATTAAAACCCTTGACCGTTTTCAAGACAATGTTTTCCGATTTTGAGTATAATCCGGATCCGCAATTCAAAACAAAACTCAGTTTTCATAACTTACAAAATTAAAAAAAGTAAAAATTATATTATGAAGCCTAAATTATATTTAGAATCTAAGTTTTCACATTTTATTTGTTAAATATGAGAATAAAGTTGATTTAGTTTCCTGCATTTTAAACAAACTAGAAATTCAAGGCGCTTCGCGCCCTTCTTTCTAGCCTTAGAGGGCGCTTCGCGCCCATCTTCTAAATTAGTTGTGAACATGTTCTCTTTGTGTACATCGTAAAACAAAACAAAAATAATTCGCGGATTTTCACAAAAAATTTCGCGGATTTTCAAAATTTTTAAAAATATAATGACGATCGAATTTTGATGGAGACAAATATTTGAAATTTTGATTTTTCATAAACCTTCCCTGGGGTCCCTAGATGTCCCACAAAAAAATTGGGCCCGATCGGTTCAGCCGTTTTGACGTTTATTATATTCAAAATTATAATTTTGAAAGTCCCATAAACATGAAACACAGAAATTGTGCAGTGTACAGTGTAATAAGTTGGTTATCAAGCTGCTGCTGAAACAGTGTCCGAATTTAATGAATTTAAGCCGTGTCTAAAATCCCCCAAATACCGGTTTAAATTGAGCGCCGGCTTAAATCTGGAAAAATTTAATACAAAAAGTGGAACCAACAAAAGTTGAGCCGCGGCTTAAATTTGAACCGCGGCTCAAATTCTTTAAATTCGGCCTCTGTTTGTTTTATAACAGCATCATCCTCTGTTTGCTTAATAACGGCATCATATAAGATTGTTTTAATGTCGTCTTCTTGTTACATAGTTCTCTCGGTAGAAAGTATATAAATGGTTTTATGAATTTACCATCCCTCTATCCAAAGGTTATAATACAAGGAAAGTTATATGCAGTTGCTTTAACTCTGCGTACATATTGAAACCAGTTCTCTCTGGGTGGAATTTTTAAACAGGAATAGATGCATCAGTGTTTGTTTAGTATCCGAGGAGGTTAAAAGCACTAAATTTTGATAATTTTGATAATTCAAATAATAGTTATCTATGACCAGAATATTTCATTGATTTTTTATGTGAAAGATTGATCCAATGTCGGGCTTCGACATCCGTCTTGTGTTTACATTACCGCCCATAGACAGTTACACTGCAGTACAAAAGATGCGTTCACCTCTGAAATAAATTTCCTTGCATTGTAACCTTGTCTCTATCCTTGTCTAATATCTAAGATTCAAAACAGGAATACAACTTTATAGAACATATTAATTACATATTTTCATAAGCGTCAACCCTTATCGTATTTCTTAGTCTTTAGTTTTTACAGTCTACGAATGTAGTTTATGCAATTTACATAAACTTATTTTTTAAATACAGTGATTTATCATTTTCAGATTGTACACTCCGCTCAAGGATCTCTAAAAGCAGAAGAACAGTTCCAGCTGGTTCAGGATATGCAAACCAGTCTCCTAGAATCCAAGTTTTTACTCTCCGGAGATAGGTTTGCTCCACCGGAGATAGTGGAGAATGCAAACCTTCTCGTTCGAGCCTTGAACCAGGAGCAAGTAGAACAAATACAAGACAAAATAAATCAAAAATACAAAATAGTTAAATCTGTTTATCAATGTATCTAAAACTATGGTAAATATACAATATTTGTTATAAGAATTATTCTCCTTGAGAAACGGATTGATATTTTCTCCTATAGAAGAATGCTCCGAGTGCTATAAGTGCTACCAGGACCAGGAGACCAACTCCGACGGAAATACCAATAATTATATTAAGATTACTTGGTTCGGTGAAATCACTTAAGTTCTCGTAAGCCACAAGGAGGTTGTCCTCCACATCCTCAACCTCGAGGCTGACCCCAGTAGAACAGCAGGATACTAGAGCCTCTACATCAACCTCCTCACGACCTCCTATTGGATGATATTCCTTCCACCAGAACGGAGCATTATTATTGCTATCTTTAACTGATACTCTGTACAACCCGGAGTTATCATCTTGAACCTTGAATCTAGCTCTCCAGGTCTGCTGGGAGCAGGATGAATCCGGCCTGCAGTTGTTCTCCACGGATTGAGTTGCTACCCTGGGTAGGATTGTATCTGGAGGAATATATCTGTCATGAACATGAACTAGAACAGTTACTTTAGCTGAGGTCTTGTATCCTGGAGGAAGGTAGTTCTCATCTCCACCATGGTATCCTCCATTGTTATTCCAATCGTCGTTTCGGTCTCCACTATTGTAGCCTCCATTGCCACCTGACTGTCCTCCATTATTGTAACCACCATTATTATAACCTCCATTGTTATAACCCCCATTTATGTCTGGTTTGTCTCCATTGTTATAATTTCCATTGCCACCTCCACTGTTATACCCTCCATTACCTCCTCCATTATTGTAACCTCCGTTGTTATACCCTCCATTATTTCCACCATTGTTATAACCGCCATTCATGTCTGGTTTATTTCCATTATTGTAACCTCCATTATTATAACCTCCATTAATATCTGGTTTATTTCCATTATTGTTGCCTCCGTTGTTATAACCTCCATTTATGTCTGGCTTATTTCCATTATTGATGCCTCCGTTATTGTAACCTCCATTTATGTCTGGTTTATTTCCATTATTGTAGCCTCCATTGTTATAACCTCCATTTATGTCTGGTTTATTTCCATTATTGATGCCTCCATTGTTGTAACCTCCATTTATGTCGGGTTTATTTCCATTATTGTAGCCTCCATTGTTATAACCTCCATTTATGTCTGGTTTATTTCCATTATTGTAGCCTCCATTATTATAACCTCCATTTATATCTGGTTTATCCCAACTGGATCTCTGATTAAAGGATCCCTCCCTCTCTGCAACTATGATGTAGTTAAGGTACTCGCCGATGGAGGAGGGCAGGAGGATGTCGGTTACCCTGATGGTGTACATATCGTCACTGTTAAGCGTAACTCGACCAACACTAAGAGCTCCTGATATCTCTCTGGATTCTTGTCTGAAATATTTAAAAAAGTCAGAAACAATTACACGCCATTTTTGTTAGAACAACCAGAAAAGCTTTTTTTTACATTGGTCTTAGGATATAATGAAAAAACAGATAAAAGAATGATATCATAAATCATGATTTTCTTAATTGAATTTAGCATTTAAATTAAGTACCGTTTCTTTAATCAAAGTTAAAATAAACGGAGAATAAATGAAGAAAAATCTCAATGTTTTGATATTTTTCAAGACCGTTTCAGCTGGAGTTCCATGATTTTTCAGTATATTTACCTGATTATGAAGGAACCTGGAGTTCCATGATTTGTCTCAGGATATTTACCTGATCAAGAAGAAACATGGAGCTCCATGATTTTTCAGGATATTTAATTGATCATGAAGAAACCTGAACCTTTATTATGTGTACGGAAATTTACCTGATCATGAAGGAACATGGAGCTACATGATTTTTCAGGATATTTATCTGATGACAAAGGAACCTGGAGTTCCATGATTTGTCAGGATATTTAATTGATCATGAAGAAACCTGGACCTCTATTATTTGTCAGGAAATTTACCTGATCATGAAAGAACATGGAGTTCCATGATTTGTCAGTATATTCACCTGATCATGAAGGAACCTGGAGTTCCATGATTTGTCAGGATATTCACCTGATCATGAAGGAACCTGGAGTTCCTTGATTTGTCAGGATACTTACCTGATCATGAAGAAACCTGGAGCTCCATGATTTGTCGGGAAATTTACCTGATCATGAAGGAACATTGAGCTACATGATTTTTCAGGATATTTACCTAAACACAAAGGAACCTGGAGCTCCATGATTTGTCAAGATGTTTACCTGATCATGAAGGAACCCGGAGCTCCATGATTTGTCAGGATAAAGTCAAGATTATGTCTGGTTCCAGGTTTGCCTAACAGCATTAATAATTTAAAAAAATGAAAATTAAAAACTAAAATTAAACAAACTATTCAGAAGAATTTAAAAGGATACATTAAGAAATGTGTGTACATTTTCACGTGAAACTGAAAACCATATTTTGTTTTTTTTCCCTTATATTAAGTAGAATACGTAATTGTGATAATGATTTTTATCTGCTTTAATATGAAAAAACTATAAAATCATGCTGAAATTCTGAAATATATTTTTTTGTGAAAAAGACTTACATAGGGAGTTTTATAACTAAACTATTTGTAGAAATATTTAATCAGATTTTATATCGCATACAGTGCAGTGGTCGCTGAGTATATCAATACGATTAAGACGCTTTGAACCCTAACAAGCATTTTTCAAATTACAAGTCTACAAGTAAACAAAGGGAAGCTGTTAATTGACCACTTCTCTTTGATGACATTTAAGCGTCTCTGCTGTTAAACAAATTGGCATACAGTTGAAATAGAAGTGGAAAGTCGTCTTTATTGTATTGATATTCAAGGACGACTGTTTTTAAAAGATGTAAAGGCATTTTAGGTTATAAAATAAAAAAAAACAGTACAAGCATTTACTAGTACCGGCCTGGCTAGAGTAATCGTACTAAATATGCATTAATTGGTACCGGGGTAGTCTATAGTGTACCCAGTGTGTAATGGACCCAGCACGTTTCATGCAAAAATTATAAGCTGGCTTGATTGTTATGCCATTATTGCCCGGGGAATTTTAAAAACACTTTTTATTAATTCAAAGAAAATTTCGAACTTTCCATGGGTATCCATAAGTTTCCTCAAAAGATGTCAGTCCATTTGGTCCGACCGATTAGCCAGCTTATAGCTAACATATGTATATATATATGAGCACTTGAGCTTTATTTACTACAGGGTGTCCCGAAAACATGGGAATTCAGTGACGAATTCGATATCGTCTTTGTTATGAATTAGCATTATAATACCTAATTTCAAAAGCCGTAATATTATTATGTCTGCTAGAGTTTATTTTATGAAAAGGGTAAAAGACTGTAAAGATGTGTCTATAATGTCTGCGCAACATGAACAGTGAAGACGGACAAGTTTACTGTAATTTTCTTGTTTTATTAAGTACAACCGTATGCATTATATGCAGTCAATACATAAACAAACAAAATGTGAACATAGCAGAGGAAACTCTTACATATTACGGCTTTCTCAGTAGGTTTCACTATACTAAATCAAAGAATTATTTGCAAAGACGATATCGAATTCGTCACTGAATTCCCATGTTTATTGGGACACCCTGTATATAGATATAGATATTTCGTTAGAAAACGTAATATTTCACCTGAGATTGATTTTGTGCTGTCCGAGATCTTGAGGGTTACAGTGTCATTACTATAGATATTATTAGTTCCAGTACACACATCTATACAAGAATATAATCAGGTAGTCTGTAATATTAATTTAGTCAGTTTTATAGGGACAATAATAACTATTTATAACCCTACTGGAGGCAAGGTATAAAGTATTTGAGCCAAAAACTTTTCTTTTTCGAGAGGGTTCGAGACTTTTTTGATGAGATTTTTAACCTGCAGAGCGTAGCTAGGGTTAAAAATCTCATCAAAAATGTCAACCAGTAAGGTTATAGATAATTTTATGCCCTGGAAAATATTAGGAAAAATAAAGATGTATGAATTTAAATGTTAACACTATCAAAAATATTTTAAAAGTCTTTCCTTTTCAAAGAGGGGTGTGTCAGATTCACATTGCTACCCTTTCAACATATTTATTTTAAAGAATGAATAAGAAATTCAAATTGATAAGAGCTATGGTTGGTATATTTAAGAAAGTAATTTCTCATTCCTACGGAAACAAACTTTAAGCTCTAGAAAAAAAGACAAAACCCCTTTCATTATTCCATCCTTAAATTTAAAGAAATTGCTGACATTGTGACAGCCCATATATGGCGTGATAAGAAAAGAAAAATTAACCAAATGTCAAGAAATATAATAATCATCTTCTTTAAAAACATTCTTTAAAAAGGAATTGTGACAGCCCATATATGGCGTAATAAGAAAAGAAAAATTAACCAAATCTCAAGTAATATAATAATTATCTTTAAACATTCTTTAAAAAGTCATCATTTACAAATTATAATTTTTACATATCATAAGTCTGATTTAGTTTCCTTTTTTTCATATGACCACCAACCAAAGAGAGTAGAATATATATTAGAGGGGAATTTACTAGAAAAAAGTGTAAAACGGCCATTTTGTTGCACTGTTTCCATACTGCAGGTGTACTTCACATATTTGTGCTATTGTAACAGTGGGCGAGTTTTGTTGATCTTTTACGATCAGCAATTCAAGGATTTTTTGGATCGCTGAGATCATAGCTACCAAGGGGAATCTTTACAAACGATGATTTTCCGTTATAACTATAAATAAAATGATATCTTTTATTCACCTCATTCATTATAAGGTTTATTTAACAGCTTCAAAAAATTCGAAATTGAAATAGATAGTCTAGGGAACATACTGTATTAATGTACTCTACTGCATATAATTTGTGAACATTTACATGATTTTCAGGCTGAAAGGGACTGAAAAAATTCATACCAAGAGATTCGCTAAATTCCCCTCTAGTATATATTCTATTCTCTATGCCACCAACTTTTTGTTTGTTTTCCTTGTGATTTAAAAAAATTAAATATTAATTTTTATGGTTATTTTATCGTTAGAACTGATGAGGATCAACACAGACCAAAAGATAGTGTAAAAAATGTGGAACTAGCAACGTTTTTACTCTGCAAGGTTTGGAGCATCATATCAACACTCTCAACACCGAATTTAAAAAGAAATCATGGTTCGCGAAAACTTACATATACTTTAAATTACGCAATAAAAGAAAATATAAAAATAAAAAAAATACCTGTGTATACAAGGACGAAGAGCAGAGCTAATAAAAGCCGCTGGACGAGGCCCATTATAAATGAACTGACTGCACTTATATTGACTAATGACAAAACACTAATGTTTTCTCGCTGCCCTATAGTTATAGGATAAAGTTTAAATATGTAAAAGATAAGAAAAAGTGTTTACAGAATGAATAAACCGACATTTACTCATTAAACTTAGAAATACAAAATCAATGAAATCCTTAATACAATTGCTCATTCTTTAAATTCTCTCATCTCTCACAACTCAGCTTGTTTTGACAAAAAAATCCTAATCACAGTCTAGTATATCATATATATATGATATAACCATATTTATTAACGAAAGAGGAGCGATCCTAAACAATTTGTATTAATAATTTTGAAAACTGAAAAGCTGCTCTGATTTATATATATATATATATATTTACAGCTTCTGAAAAAAATGCTACATGCTTTAAGCATGGCGAATAATTATTTTTCTTAAAAACATGTTGTCGAATTATAAATATTCTTGATTTGTGCCGTACTCTAGAAAATTAAAATTTGAAATAATTTTTACAAAACTAAGCATTTTAAACATAGATGAGAGATTCTGGTTTCTTTTATGACTTCAAGTAAATCATCCAATTTTGTGTTGTTTTATCTTATCCTAGCTTGGGAACCCAGAACCCAGCTTTGCCTGCAAAATAAATAAAAATCTATTTATCTTAAAATTATAAAACCCATCTGAGAGCATTCTCGTTGTTCTAAATCTAACGAGATCCATAATCAAAATTAATCAGTGCTAAGGATTCATACATTTACTTTTGATGCGGATCCGAATCCTGGATCCGCACTGCAAAAAAATGAATCCGGATCCAGATCTAAATCCGGATTCAGGGAATCCAGGTCATGAACATTTCATATAAGATTTACTGATTTTTTAACAATGAAGAATTTTCAAATTATTTTTCTTCTTTCCTGTTATTTTTAAGATAAAACTTAATGAACCATCCAGAGGTAAGTAAAGATTTTGAGTTTGTGAGCAAAAGATTTTTGTTTGCAGTTTTTGATTGATATTTTGCCCCTTGGATCCGCATATTGATGCAGATCCGGATCCTAAGTACTGTAAAATTTGAGGCAAACCGGTCAACTGGTTCTTGAGTTAATTTGTGATCGTTTATAATAAAAAATAAAAATACTTATAGGCTTTCTCCGTTATGTATTTTTCAAATATTTCTCGCTTATTTTTCCCCTCAAAATTTGAAGTTATTTTCTTTATCTTAAACAATTTATATACGATAAAAAAATTATGTCATTTTCTTTTTAAAAGTTTTAGTTTTAAAACCTTCTTTTACTTTACCCCAGAACTTTTAAATATCTGTTATTCATTCAAAAATAATTATTTTTACAAATTATCAGTCGCCAAAAATTAAGTTTAAGGTTGGTTAAATATTTATTTCAAAGCAAAATGATTGAATAATGCCGAATTTAGAGTGAGCGAATAACAATAATATTTTACACTTAATAAAAAAATGCGGAATATAAAAATAAATCTATTAAGAACAAATGTCGGCTTTTCTTGGAAACCTCTTCCTATTCCGTTTAGTGATAGATATTTCTACAAACCTGTTATTTGAAGGTTTTATTATCTGATCTGAAGTCAGAACTTATGTATTGTAAATCCCGGGATCAAGTATTGATCTCCATCTTATGCAGATCTATGGCTTCATTTTATTCCTCTTCGATATCTCGTGATGGTCAGACCCTGCCGGGATATCTCGTGGTGGTCAGACCATGCCGGGATCTCTCGTGGTGGTAAGACTATGTCGGGATCTCTTGTGGTGGTCAGACCGTGCCGGGATCTCTCGTGGTGGTCAGACCATGCCGGGATATCTCGTGGTGGTCAGACCATGCCGGAATATCTCGTGGTGGTAAGACCATGTCGGGATCTCTCGTGGTGGTCAGACCATGCCGGGATCTCTCGTGGTGGTCAGACCATGCCGGGATCTCTCTTGGTGGTAAGACCCTGCCGGGATATCTCGTGGTGGTCAGACCATGCCGGGATCTCTTGTGGTGATCAGACCGTGCCGAGATCTCTCGTGGTGGTCAGACCATGCCGGGATCTCTCGTGGTGGTAAGACTATGTCGGGATCTCTTGTGGTGGTCAGACCGTGCCGGGATCTCTCGTGGTGGTCAGACCATGCCGGGATATCTCGTGGTGGTCAGACCATGCCGGGATATCTCGTGGTGGTCAGACCCTGCCGAGATAACTCGTGATCAGACCATGCCGGGATATCTCGTCGTGATCAGACCATGCCGGGATAAATCGTGATGGTCAGACCCTGCCGGGATAAATCGTGGTGGTCAGACCCTGCCAGGATATCTCGTGGTGGTCAGACCCTGCCTGAATATCTCGTGGTGATCAGACAATGCCGGGATATCTTGTGGTGGTCCGACCATGCCGGGATATCTCGTGGTGGTCAGACCATGCCGGGATTTCGAGATGTATGATACTCCACACAAATTTCCGACTATTTACAGTACCATTTAAACACGGTATAGAAATCTAGAAAGGCCCAGGGGTCCAATATATGCCATCTAATTCTATTCTAAATGTTAAATTAATATTCTGGGAACAATTCACCATGTTATTGTTGTAAACAAATGTAAGTACGATGTCAAGATGTCGAAAAAAATCCATGTATGTAAATGTAAATTTTTCCGTTTATCATAATTTATCTGTTATACTGAATCAATATTATTGATTACTGATATTTACGTCATTTAAACCCCAATTGCAGTACACATTTCTATAAAGTGTAGTACACAAACACAAAAATCTAGCTAAAGTGCTCAATGACACAAAAAATGTATTTTCCCTCCAAAAATGAACTTTCAAGCCCGATCCCATTTGGACCAGAGATGGAAATTATTTGGACCCCTGAGAAAAGCTTGCATCTGAATAAATTTTTAAGTAAAATGATCTGTTATAATTAATATCAAAGGCGGGTATTTTATTCTAACTCAATTCATTACTATGGTTATATAAATTTTTTGCTCCTTGGGCAATGGGTAAATAAACAAAAACAGGAATTAAAATATCCGACTGTTTTAAAAAATCAGTACATTCCAATTATCCTGGCAATTTACGTATAAACAAAAATTCATAACAAGTTAAATTTGATTTTGAACATTAGTATATCAAATATGTTCTCAGGAGTTCGTAGGGATTTATAAGAGATAAAAAGAGGGGGGGGGGGAAGTCAGGGATTTATAATGCATCAGGATTAACGGGATGAGTAAACAATAAAAAATTATCGAGTGAGTGGTGGAACATATTTGAATTAGACAGTTAAACAAGAATAGAAAGCGGTTGGGTTTGGAACCATGATGATGTTCCCCAGCTCATGAAGGGACACTGAGAAGGATTAGCTCCACGGTCCCGGCTCAGTAGATTCTCCAGGATGGACCGGGACCAGTGGGAAGTTTCTCCTATAGGTTCCTTCTGCCCATCAGAAAGACCTAAATAGCAACAATTAAAATCTAATCGATAACTAAAATTTATCTACGGCAGGTCTGTGTTAAAAAAAATCAGATAAAAATTATAGAATTATTAAAGTAAAAAAATTAAATCGTGAGTACTTGGAAAATTGAAAATATTCATAAATGACTAATCCATATTTTAATTGAACAGGGGTTTTAAGAAAATATAAAAAGTTTCATGACTTTTTTTCATTTCCCTAAAAATCAAAGATAACTCGGGAGAGTAGTTTATATTAACCTTTAGTGAACCTTGAGGTTGTATCGACAGATCCAGATTTAATATTTCCTGTGGCGTGATGGATAAATGCATTCTCCAGCATCCAGTCCGGGGGTTCAAATCCATCATCACGCCGCTTGGAATCATTCCTTGGAAGAGTTGATCCGTAATCCCCAATGGGAGATTCTAGATTGAAGGCACTTGACAGATTTAGTTTCTGAGACTCTGAGTTGAACTCTAGCTCAGGTTCGTCGGACCCGGAGGTAAGTGTGGTGACCAGCAGCGAAGCGGCAAGCAAGTCAGCAGCGGTCATAATCCTTTCAGGTTGAGGTTCAGGTACAGGTTCAGAGACAGATTTACCGGTTCTCAGGGTTCGGATAGAGTTAGAGAGTGAGGTTGGTCCGAAGGGAGTTTGATTAATAAGAGCAGTTGTTCCGATAAATGTGAAAATACTGGCAGCATAGGCGGCCATACACACAGCGGTAATCTTTAAGCTGGTGGCGGTCAGAAGCCGTAGCATTCGGTCCATCCCAGTACTTCCACTCAGCACATAGAGGTCAGTATATGTTGCAGAGCCTCGAGATCTAACCTCGCGATACGATATTTCCTTCTCGATCTTTTTTAATGCAGATTCAAAGTCATCAGTTGGTACATTCACCTTCCAGTCTATAGCGCAGAGGAACTCTATTTCAAGTCGGTTAAACTCCTTGATATCAATATTTCCACTCTTGGCCCACTCATCGTTAAACACTTCGTCATCCTCTCCGTCATCGTGAAGGAACTTACTCGCAACCATCATGGAGATAAGGAACAGGTCCGCGGAGGAAACAGTTCTCAGATACTCGGGATTCTGTTTCTTAAGTCGGTCCAGGTAGATCAACGCGAGGACGAGGGATGTTGGACCCGCGTACGCGTCTCTAGCCATGTCTGATGCGCGGGATATGTCGAGTCGCGCCAGCTTCTCTAGACCAACACTAGCGAACTGTTCAACAGCTAGTTGTGTGAGTGGTAAGCTGGGTCGGTCAGTTGAGGGGAGTCTACCATAATACAAGGTCTTCTCTACTCGGTCAGAAAGTGCATCGTGAGCAGGAAATATCTAAACAATAAAATGTTGCTTCTAACAATCTAAAAAAGAGCAAATAACCCCCCCCCCTTCCATGCTTCCCCTGAGAGAAGTTTAACACAATTCAAAATAACAGATCATTTTAAGATCATAAAGAGGATACAGAGTTTTGTATTCAGATTATATGACATTCATTCAAAACCCATGGATGCCCCCCCCCCCACATGTCACAAACTATGTATTCAAATTCAGCTATTGTAATCTTAAACCTAACAATCCACCAACAAGTATTTAAAAAATGTCAACAGTGGCTGTTCTGTTCCTTTTTAATAGAACTGGAGGGGGGGGGGGGGGTAAAGAATATTCCCAAAATTCTCTTTTTTAGGTTTTTAATATTTTCTCTTAAAACACTAGGTTTTTATATATTTTACTTAATAAAAATGATTGGGTAATTTCCTAGAGAAAGATTTTTGGACCCCCCGCCCTTCCCCTCCTATCAATTTTGTACATGGATCTTGAAGGTAAGAGATTTTGCCGCAGCGCTCGGCCCGGAAAGTGTCTTAACTTAATCTAACCCGTGGCCGCAGCGCTCGGCCCCCTAGCCTATACTAGCCGCAGCGCTCGACCCAGAAAGTGTCTTAACCTAACCTAACCCAAAATAAATACCAATTTAATTGAAAATTGTTGAAAAAGTGGGCAGGTCCAAAAATTGTTCTCTAGGACGGACCCAATAATAGTAATTACTTACTTAGAATACTAAAAACAAAGATCAAGACCTAATATTAATCATATAATGTATATGAGATACAAAATTGACATGACGGTGTTAGTTTACATGAATTTTAAAGCTTTTAAAACAAGTCATTTGGTAATTTCCTAGTATACGATTTTTGGACNTATATATATATATGATATGTAGTTTCCAGCTCTACCTGGAAACTATATTTTTCCCTTATATAAAGTCAACCTAGGCTTTACTTTGAATTCTTTTTTTAAGAAAAGATAAAAAAAACATTCCTATGGTTCCACAAAGTTTCTGAATCAAAATTTGAGGCAAAGAGGTCAAGGAACCCGGCTTTTCCAGAAAACCAAACTTTCTCTATTAAAGTCAACCGACTCTGTTTAGAAGTTTTAAACCAAGCAAGAACATTCCAGTGGGTCTGCCGAGTTTCCCTTGAAAAAATTGAGGCATCAGTCGAGGGGTTCATGAGTTATGATCGGAGATTACAGCGATATATATGCATATTGTATAATGTATATCTAGATGCTTCATGTATCTGGTCTGGTCCCTGCCAGGTTCCTCTGCTTAATCTCCCACCTCATCCTCTCCATCACCCTCCTCATGTCCAAGCAGGAGAACATCAAGGCTTGTCTTCCACTTGGTAATTATTTGCAATATTTTTGTTTCCTACGTACGCACCTCTGCCCCTTTAGTAAAAGTAAATTGAACCTATATCAAGCATAAAGTCTGACCCCGTCAACCTTGTTGCACCGGCTAGTCCTGTCCATAGAGCTAGGTACAGTACAAACTGAACCGGAAAAGTTGACCCGGCTTGGAAATTCAAATGTACTCTGGCTGCCCGTGCCTAAAGTATTTAAGTCAATCACGTACTTTTTTACTTCTTTTAAAACTTATTTGCAAATCATGAATTATTAAAATGTTAGAACTATATTATAGTATCATAAGTTGTACAATAGTTTTAAGTTTACATCGCGAATTTGAACTACAGAATTATGTACAATATAGTTGTATACTGTACATGTTCTTTTGTATATGGTGTATGGATTTGATTGTTTGATTTAGATTTGCACTGAAAATAATGTGCAGAATTGTTCGGACAATATCATGTTTAATGTTTACAGAACATCAACGATATACTGTACATGACTTGTATGATAGAGTTAATTGAACAATATATGTACGTGTTAAATTTCAGAGTACACCGAAGACATGACGAAAATTGTATAATACATGTTTAATGTTTAGGGGTACACCGAGGAACGTATATATTTGTATCATAAAGTTGTACATCGTATATTGCACTTTTTCAATGTTTGGATAGATAGATAGATAGATAGATAGATAGATAGATAGATAGATAGATAGATTGAAGATGTAAGTTTAGAATTTTATAAACTTTTAAATGTTGAGAGTACACCGAAGATATGATGTACAGAATTGACTTGTACAATGTACATGTTAAATGTTTAGAGTATTTACTGAAGATATGATGTACAGAATTGACTTGTACAATGTACATGTTAAATGTTTAGAGTATATACTGAAGATTTGATGTACAGAATTGTATAATAGAACTGTACAATGTACATGTTAAATGTTTAGAGTATATACTGAGGATATGGTGTTCAGAATTGTATAATAGAGTTTTACAATGTACATGTTAAATGTTTAGAGTATACACCGAAGATATGATGTACAGAATTGTATAATAGAGCTGTACACTGTACATTGTAATTGTTTAGAGTACACTGAAGATATGATGTATAGAATTGTATAATAGAGCTGTAGAATGTACATGTTAAATGTTTAGAGTACACCAAAAAAAATGATGTACAGAATTGTATAATTGAGCTGTACAATGTACATGGTAAATGTTTAGAGTACACCGAAGATATTATGTACAGAATTGTATAATAGAGCTGTGCAATTTACATGTTAATTGTTTAGAGTACACCGAAGATATGATGTATAGAATTGTATAATAGAGCTGTACAATGTACATGTTAAATGTTTAGAGTACACCAAAAAAAATGATGTACAGAATTGTATAATTGAGTTGTACAATGTACATGTTAAACGTTTAAAGTACACCGAAGACATGATGTACAGAATTGTATAATAGAGCTGTACAATGTACATGTTAAATGTTTAGAGTACACCGAAGATATGATGTACAGAATTGTATAATAGAGCTGTACACTGTACATGTTTATTGTTTAGAGTAAACCGAAGATATGATGTATAGAATTGTATAATAGAGCTGTACAATGTACATGTTAAATGTTTAGAGTACACCAAAAAATGATGTACAGAATTGTATAATTGAGCTGTACAATGTACATGGTAAATGTTTAGAGTACACCGAAGATATGATGTACAGAATTGTATAATAGAGCTGTACAATGTACATGTTAAATGTTTAGAGTACACCGAAAAAAATGATGTACAGAATTTGTAATAGAGCTGTACAATGTACATGTTAAATGTTTAGAGTACACCGAAGATAATAGAGCTGTACAATGTACATGTTAAATGTTTAGAGTACACCGAAGATATGATGTACAGAATTGTATATAGAGCTGTACAATGTACATGTTAAATTTAGAGTACACCGAAGACATGATGTACAGAATTGTATAATTGAGCTGTACAATGTACATGTTAATTCTTTAGAGTACACCGAAGATATGATGTACAGAATTGTATAATAGAGCTGTACAATGTACATGTTAATTGTTTAGAGTACACCGAAGATATGATGTACAGAAAAGAAACTGAGTTGACGGCTGGACTAGGAGTAGCCATTGGACTTATGGGAATAGAAATGGTAAGTTTGGTTTAAAAATACAAATCATCTTTAAACTAGTTGCAGAATGAGAAGGTTAAATTAAAGCGACATTACATGTACGGATTTGTGATCTTGTAGCTCCTCCTACAGTTTTAAATTTACGTTCAAGTATAAAGAGAAACCCAAACTTGTTCAATTACAGATAAGAAAATACAAACCATTCACCCCTCTCAATAGCTCTTCAAAAAGAGAAGGTATCATTCGAATCATTAAAATTTTTTCAATCTTACTTGCATCAAGTTTCCCTAGTGATATCTTCAAAACACTTTTGAATGGTTGATTTGGACGCAATAAAGTGCAACATAAATCATTTATTCTAAAAGCAGATATTAGTACATATATTCTAAGTGTCACTATTAAATACTTGGTGTTGCAACATTTATGTCATAAAAATTAAAGATGACGCAATAATAGGATGTCCATTGAACACATATGATGAGACCCACTATCAAAAACTAACTATTTATAACTCCCTTCTGGGAACTCACATAAAAAAACTAAAAAATCTCTAAATGATGATATTCAAGCCAATCCATGTGATATGTCTTTTGTATTTGCCATACTGCAAAACAAAAACAAATGTTTATAATAAAAAATGAAAAAAAAAATTTGGTTTTTTTTGTTTTGCCAAATTTTGACCCTGAAGAAAATATAGGCAAAAAACGACCTATATACGCATTATCTGAGAGCACTTCACTAATTGCAGTGGCACTGCATTTAATGGAATAATTTCTTTACAGATCGGGTTTCTAGCTGGTTTGAGTATGTTCTCTCCAACCCAAGCTCTAGTTTCTATATGCAGGGATATATTTACATATAAAACTTATAGTGTATAGATATTTAATAAACTTAGTTTTGAATAGTTAAATACTCAGTATCGAAATATGAGGATAGTTTAATAGTCTATAAGTCAAACTAATAAAAATCTGATTAGAATTTGGAAATTAAGGAAAAGTTATATCTTGTATATGACAAAATATCAGGTTATTACAAAATTATTGATTTTGATGCTTTCTTTTTGTAGAGAGAAGGAAGCAGTATCGATTGAATTATACTTTGATTAAAAACAAGCTAGAAGAGAACAAAATCAGATTGTAAATCTATTAAGAAAAAAAAATTAAGAGGATCAGAAATAAGATCTGTAATTATTATATCTTGAGAACAGTCATGCAACAGCAACAGTATCCCTGGCTTACATGATGCTGGATCTATGGGACTGTTCTCTATATTGGGTTGTATTCTCACTCTGCTCCTGTATACCTGCAACCATAGGTACAAATTTTAAAAATACAAATATCAAAACTTTCTTTCTTTCATCATTTATTTTCGAATTGAATGAAGTGAATCTATAGATGTCATTTCCAGTGAACCTTCTTGGAAAAGAAGAGTGGCATGTCCGATACACCCTGGTGTTCTTATAACTTTTGTCTGGGTAACAACATAAGGCATTTATTGTCGTTCTCTTCTATCTGATAAGTGTTTAATTCTGCTATGATTTCAACCATGTCTCTAAAGCATAAATGCGCAAATCACTTTTAGAGAAACCGCAATGGAAAATAATCCTTTTTTCCTAGACAAATATAGATTTCTTGTTCATCGTTGATGAGACAAAGGTTTAAATGCTACCGTTGCGAGGCAGATCTGCCACTGTATAAAGTGAGGGTCTGAACTCATGAATTACATGTACACTTGTACAGTGTACAGTCCCTTAAAGTGCGAACCATAAATCAACCATAATCTATTAATATTTCTAGAAGTTTCCATCATGATCGGAGTTGTAGGCTTGAAGAAACCAATCTAAGATTTATCTAAAGCTGTTAAAGTGCCCAGAGTGGATACAATTAAAGTCTTCAAAGTTCGGTGAATGCCATCATGCTGCAGCAAGATTTGGACAGTTTCAAGAAGAGCACTAAACAGCTGGACGGAAAACCTGTATTTCTGAATTTTTAGTTTTTTTATTGTTAATTTACAAATAAAATAATTCCTAAATTTATTGTGGTTGCTATAAATATCAATAAAGAAAGTGAAAATTAACAGAAATGTTAAAAATTTTCTTGCAAGAAATACTTAATTTACCAATTAAAGTTTTTTTTGAAGTTTCAGTTCTTGTCAGCATGGAATATAAAAATGAGTATTAATTGAAATTATTGTTTGGAAACTAGAGAATGAGTTCTTTCAGAATAGTTATTAACATTATTAAAAATTTACAAGCCATTTTTGTCTTAAAGTTACTGGAAACAAAATCTACTTAAAAAGATGTGTGGGAAATTTAGATCAATTTATGAAGAGAACCCAACATTGTATTTTGAATCAGGTGATTAACTGCAAGCCGCAATTGGTTTAAGTGCGGCGGTAGGCGATAATACCAATATAACGAAGACGACTTTTTTCTTGAAGTTATAATTGTTAACAAGCTTTTTTCGAATTACAAGCTTACAAGTAATAAGTGAGAAGCTTTTTTTTAATTGACAGATTCTCTATGTTTCCATGTTTTGGGTATCCTTGTTATTTAAAAGCTTAATATTTATCAAAATTTATATCGAAAGTCGTCTTCATTATATTAATATTATGGCCAACCACTGTAAAAAAAACTCTATAATTGGGACAATAAACTTCATGGTTTGAAAATAAAACTCCATGTTTTAATTTAAAATACTTAATGGTTTAAAGGAAAAAACTCCGTGGTTTAATGAAAAAAACTACATGGTTTAATGAAAAAGCTTAATGGTTTAAAGGAAAAAACTCCGTGGTTTAATGAAAAAACTCCATGGTTAAAAGGAAAACGCTCCATGGTTTAATGAAAAATCTTCATGGTTTAATGAAAAACCTCCATGGTTTATTTAAAAACCTCCATGGTTTAATGAAAAAACTCCATGGTTTAATGAAAATGGAGAGGTCCATGAGAAGCTCTCTGTCCGAAAGAGTGGTCTATGAGAAATTCCCAGTCCGAAGAGAGGTCCATGAGAGGCCCCCAGTCCAAGGTCCCTAAGATTGTGTGTGATTCCGCAAAGTGTTGAAGAATCCTCAACTTTTTAACCCCCCAAAAATAAGAGAAAGACAACGCTCTCAATCTTTTGTATCATCCCCTATTCCTCAGTTGGACAAGGATAATAAACACGTCAGCTCCGAATCTTAAATTTAACCTGATCCAGACCCTGAAACTAAACCTAACCATAAACCCGGTGATTCTGAGAAGTCTGACACTGAACCAAAACCCAGTCCTATATCTAAATCTGACCCGTGGGTTACCCTCGACAAATATTGATAACCCAGTTTTTGGATATTGCGGAAAACAAGAATGGCTCTATATAACATTGGTATTCTAAAACGAAAATCCGAATTGTGATGTGTAAAAATATTTGAATCTTAAATAATTCTGCACTAAAAAAGAGAAATAATTTTTAATTGTTTCTTTATTTGTTTCTTAAAATACAGACAAAGTACATGTATACAGAGTTTTTTCTTTATGCTTTCTAACTTTGCAGATTAGTGCATAAACTGCTGTTCAGAGGCGTTCAGATTAAAATTAATTTATGTGACCCCCCAAAATACTGTAAAAGTAATGAGGACTGTATTTCAGTATATTTGTCGTATGCGATCATATCCGACTGAAACCTGATTTTCTACAAACCGTTTATGCTCATTTTCTCAGAATTCCGTCAGATTTACATTTTGACTCAGGTTGACCTCGCCATCTTTAGTTTCTTTTTTTTTTAGTTTGTATCAAGGACATGATTTAGATGCATTGGCGTATGAAAGCATTTGTGTAGGGGGGTCACTCTTTGTGCCCCCCTTGGTAACACCCCCCTTTTTTGAAAAAATATTGATAATTTTTTTTTATCTATGTAAGCTATTCGATCATATACACACATCCATATACAAGTGTTAATAAATTATTTATGTAATTTTCTTAAGTGGACTCATAAGACACTTCCTCCTAATACGTTAGTGTATCCCAGCTAGCCAAATTGCGCAAAAAGCTCGCAATTTAAACGTCACTTTTGGCATTTTTACGTAAATTTTACGTCGACATTTTGGCTCTTTTTACGTCATGAAAGACGTAAAATCGCACACTTAGCTACGTAAATTTATTGGTTTTAGTAGACGTAAAATTGACGTAATAATATTATACAAATTTATGCCAAAAATGCGCATTTTTATTTTCTCAATTACCAAAAATTATGCAATATTTGATGCATGCAGATAGGCCATTCATCCCTGAGTACCGATATGGTATTGTCTCTGAATTGTTTCCCTTCATCCGGAAAACAGATCAACATAGAGATTATAGCGTCAAGCTTTATACTTGTATGAGAGTTATGAAAGATTATATAAAACTTTTTGATAGAAAATTCAGTGCATTTTCCTAATAAAAATGTTGTATTTAAAAAAATTTAAAATAATTTAAAACCCAAATCTTGACTTCTAAATGATATATTTTTAGTAAAAAATTTAATCTGATCCTTTTTACTTTTTTTTAAAAGTTTACATGAAACAAATAGAGACACCTAGCGGTGAAATTTGGTACTAAAAACCAGTGTACTATATAGCACTGTAAATTCTCTGCCCAATTATCCCCCCCCTTCCCACCCTTATCTACATATCCCACGGCTTTCTATATAATATAACATTGCTGCACTCTGCACTATATGCACACACACCTGGGCCACTCAATTCTTCAATATTTAAAACACTCAAAACATATGCGTAAAAAGAGCGCAATTTTTACGCTATTTTAATGCTAACAAAGACAACTTAAATTCTTTTTAAAAGTTTATTTTTTCAATTTTTTGGGAAAATGCAATATATGCCGTATCAGAAATTTTAGATATTTCACAAATAATTTAGATTTAGAGTTGTAGGGAATTACGCAAATTGAGCGTATTTTTACACAATTTGTATGCCTGAAATAAAATGATACACATCTTCACAAATTCATGATATTTTTACTTAAAGCTGAGTTATAAAATATTTTCTTAAGAAAAATTAGATATTTACACTAATTTGAAATCTAGTCATACGCAAATTTGCGTTTTAATTGCGCAATTAGAGCCAAAATAATATGCGACCACGCTATCTACGCAATTTGGCTAGCTGGGATGGGCTATTATAGATTTTTTCCAGAGACCGAACTCAACGCGCGGAGCGGACTAAAAGACTTTGTATTATAATATAAGTCTATTTAAAATTCGGTGTTGGTGATGGACCAAACCTCAGTAGAGTAAAAAAAAATAGATGTTAATTCCACATTTATTGAATTTGAATTTTATTGAAGAGTATATCTATATAAGTCTATTTAAATTTCTTACAAATATCTACATTTATCATTCCCATTCTCTTGTTGATTTTGAAACATTTTGAACGTTATCAAATTGAGAACATTTATGGCATCAAAATCTCAGGGGGGGGGGCGTCCCCCTCCTTTATAAGACAGGGGGGGGGGCAAAGGTACACACCACACTCGTCCCCTGCAGTGGCCGCCCACTTGTTCATCCATGAATATGGACAGGAGAAATTACATGAGTAAAATTTGTAAAAATTAAAATAATTTAACATCCCCAGTAGAGAGCTGGACCCTGAGAGTGAGACTGAGAGTATCAATGAGTCCACACCACAGTGAGGATGGACTGGAGTAATAAGAGAGAGTTAGTTTCCAGCTTTGCCAACGGGGGGAATTTTGCCCCATTTTTTGGAAATCTGGGGAATTTTTACGCCAATGGTGAATTGATCGAAAATTGGGGTATTTCTGGGGAATTTAATACTAATATATTTTGTAAATTGTGCTTATAACGAATGAATTGTCTAAAATTCAAAAAAATTTCTGTCATGAATTAGTATATAACACAGATTATATCAATCGAATCAAATTCAGATCATTATTGTCAAGGCAGTTTTTCCTCAAAACAGCTCTTAAAATATTGAAAATGTTTGATTTTGAGGGATTTTTAAAAGTTGATAACCATTAAAAGTACTTAACTGTGTATTCAGCACTATAAAAAAGGGGAATTTTTAGTTGAAATATGGGGAATTTTCAAGAGAAATTGGGAATTATATCATCTCTGGGAGTTGGCAACGCTGTTAGTTTCTGAATGAGAGTGAGAGAGCAGCAGCTGCAGACAGACTGCAGAGTGCAGAGTCGAGTGCAGAGCAAAGCTGAGGGAACCTTAACCTTCTGTAGAGTTATAGGACGAATCCATATATATAGGAGGCTAGGAGCAAATTCTTTACAAAATTACACATAAACACTGACACAACATTATTTCGAATTGTTAAAAGTAAAATGAATCAAAATTTACATCTTTTCGATTTCCGGAATTTTGATTCAAGATTGTTTCATGGCAGAATTTTTACATCGATCGCGCGAAAATCAATAATTAATTGCTTTCATTAAGCAAAATTATATGTATTATTTGCAGAATTTTGTTCTTATGATATGCAATTTCATATAATAAAGAATGCGCGTATTCGAGTTGAGTTCCGACTGTTATTTGTCAACTAAAATTTGTTTTAAAATTTACTTAAGTTGATGAAAGGATGTATTATATGTGTAGTTCAGTACTCAGTAGGTAGGTTATTTCGTAGGTCCGGTCATGGATTTTTCCCCGGTGGGATTGATTAGAGTGAACTGTCTGAACTTCTGAAGCGAAATAACCGGATAAATCTGGAAATGTTACCGTGAGGCGGGAAATCCTTCCCGCGCCGGTAGAATTCGACCAATGAGGAGCGAACTGTAGGAGAAGCTTGGTCATATAACACTACAAATGTAGAGAATACCAACGAACTTTTACTCATTCTGCTTCAATCATTCAGTCATTCTCAATCTCACTTGCACTTCTTACCGCACTCAGTGCACATAATAACATTTAACAATTCTCATTTACGAGGCTTCGGCAAATATTATCATTTATCTAGCAAAGTAACAATTATACGTGAATTTGAAAGATGCAATTGTAGATTATCTAAATTTTTATGTTCAGAGCTTGAATAATGAGTAATATGCATTATAACATGTTTAGAGAGATATATTAAGTAAGTTAAATTATTTTTTGTTTTATTTTCAGACTTATAAACTTCATACAAATATGGCTGAAGACGGTGAGACTAAGGTTTCCACAAGGGGAAGGGGACGCCCACCAAAGGTACCAAACTTTTTTTTACTCTACAGAGGTTTGGTCCATCACCATCACCGAATTTTAGATATATTTAATATTCTTAAAAGAACACATTTTTCTATAAGCTTTTTTTGTTAAAAAGGCTGCATCTACCAAGAAAGCTGCTGCTAAGAGAGCAGCTCCTGCTGAGGATGGAGCCGCTGCGGCCAAGAAGGGGCGGGGACGTCCAGCTGCCGCAGCAAAGAAAGCTGCTCCCGCTAAGAAGGTAAATCGATTTAATCCAGTTTTAAAGTTTATACTAGAGTAGAGCAATATATGGTTGCCGGGTGGTCGAGGGGGGGGGGGCTTTCTCNGGGGGGGGGGGGGGGGTAGCTCCACACAGCATCTATTTAGCTCTCCTCTGAAAAAATCGATTCCATGAAGTAGAAAATCAATAGAATGATACTTATTCTTCACTGGAATTATAAATTCTAACCTTGTTAATTACTTATTCAAATTCTGAAAGTGTTTTCTTCGAGTTTTAGTTTAAAGATATAAGAAACATTTTTCTACATTCGTTTTTAAATTAGTTTTCTAATGGGAAATATTTTTTTAAACCCTTGACGATATTACAGCCATCTTTAAGTGTATTGATATTGATTTAAAGCAATAAAGTTGAATCAGCAGCTTAAAACTCGGGTAAATTCCTAGAGAACGATTTTTGGACGAACCACCCCCCCCCCCTTTTT